TTTGGTGATCATCCATCAATTAGTTCTAAACAAATAGACATTTAAATGTATTTTCTATTTCTAGTTTGAGCGACCCTTAAAGGGGCCGAAAAAACTTGATAAAAGTCTACCAATGAATGCTACAGACAAAGTTGGGTGACCATCCATTAATTCGTTCTTTACAAATAGACGTTTAAAGGTATTTCTATTTTTAGCTTAAGCGGACTCTTAAACGGGCCAATCAAATTAATATGAGCAAACTTGATAAAAGACTACCATAGAATGCTACAGACAAAGTTTGGTGATCATCCATCAATTAGTTCTCTAGAAATAGACGTTTAAAGGTATTTCTAATTTTAGCTTTATCGGCCCTTAAAAAGGGCTAATCAAACTAATATGATCAAACATGATAAAAGACTTCCTAAGAATGCTACAGACAAGGATTAGTGATCATCCATCAATAAGTTCTGTAGAAGAAGACGTTTAAATGTTTTTCTATTTTTAGCTCTAGATACCCCTAAAACGGGTCAATCAAATAAATATGAGCAAACTTGATAAACGACTTCCTTAGAATGCTGCAGACAAAGGTGATCATCCATCAATTAGTTCTGTAGAATTAGACGTTTAAAAGGTTTTTCTATTTTTAGCTCTAGAGACCCCTAAAAAGGGCCAATCAAATTAATATGAGCAAACTTGATAAAAGACTACCAAAGAATGCTACAGACAAAGTTTGGTGATCATCCATCAATTAGTTCTTTAGAATTAGACGTTTAAAAGGTTTTTCTATTTTTAGCTCTAGAGACCCCTAAAAAGGGCCAATCAAATTAATATGAGCAAACTTGATAAAAGACTACCAAAGAATGCTACAGACAAAGTTTGGTGATCATCCACCAATTCGTTCTCTAGAAATAGACGTTTAAAGGTAATTGTATTTTTAGCTCTAGAGACCCCTAAAACGGGTCAATCAAATTAATATGAGCAAACTTGATAAAAGACTACCAATGAATGCTACAGACAAAGTTTGGTGATCATCCATCAATTAGTTCTGTAGTAATAGACGTTTAAATGTATTTATATTTTTAGATTTAGCGGTCCCTTAAAGGGGCCAATCAAATTAATATGAGCAAACTTGATACAAGACTACCAATAAATGCTACAGACAAAGTTGGGTGACCATCCATCAATTCGTTCTGTAGAAATAGACGTTTAAAGGTATTTCTATTTTTAGCTCTAGAGACCCCTAAAACGGGTCAATCAAATTAATATGAGCAAACTTGATAAAAGATTTCCTTAGAATGCTGCAGACAAAGGTGAACATCCATCAATTAGTTCTGAAGAATTAGACTTTTAAAGGTTTTTCTATTTTTAGCTCTAGAGACCCCTTAAAAGGGCCATTCAAATTACTATGAGCAAACTTGATAAAAGACTACCTTAGAATGCTACAGACAAAGTTTGGTGATCATCCATCAATTAGTTCTGAAGAAGATGTCTAAAGGTTTTTTTTTATTTTTAGCACTAGAGACTCCTAGAAGGGGCCAATCAAATTAATATGAGCAAACTTGATAAAAGACTACCAAAGAATGCTATAGACAAAGTTTGGTGATCATCCATCAATTAGTTCTGTAGAAACAGACGTTTAAATGTATTTTGTTAGCTTTAGCGGACCCTAAAAGGGGCCAATCAAATTTATATAAGCAACCTTGATAAACGACTACCAAAGAATGCTACAGACAAAGTTTGGTGATCATCCATACATTAGTTCTGTAGAATAAGACGTTTAAAGATTTTTCTATTTTAATCTCTAGAGACCCCTAAAAGGGGCCAATCAAATTAATATGAGCAAACTTGATAAAAGACTACCCAAGTATGCTACAGACAAAGTTTAGTGATCATCCATCGATTAGTTCTGTAGTAATAGACGTTTAAAGGTTTTTTCTATTTTTTGCTTTAGCGGCCCCTTTAACGGGCCAATCAAATTAATATGAGCAAACTTGATAAAAGACTACCCAAGAATGCTACAGACAATGTTTGGTGATCATCCATCAATTAGTTCTCTAGAAGAAGATGTCTAAAGGTTTTTCTATTTTTAGCTTTAGCGGCTCCTTAAAGGGTCAATTAAATTAATATGAGCAAACTTGATAAATGACTACTCAAGAATGCTACAGACAAAGTTTGGGGATCATCCTTCAATTAGTTCTGTTAAAGAAGATGTCTAAAGGTTTTTCTATTTTTAGCCCTAGATACTCCTAAAAGAAGGCAATCAAGGTAGTCTTTTATAAAGTTTGCTCATATTTTTCCCGACATGGTGCAGTGTCTTATATTAAAGACAATCATATTATTACTGATTTGTATTAAAAACCCACCGATAAACACCAATACCTTCTTACAAGCAGCTGCCACCCTCGATACTGTTGTAAGAACACAACCTATGTGGATTTGAGAATCAAACGAATCTGTTCAGATCCCAACATGTTTAATATCAGTCTGAGAGCGAAATAACTCTCTGAACACCCTAAGAAGCGAGGATACAAAGAAGAAGACATCGCAAACGCGATCTCAAATGCAGACAGCACGCACAGGAAGGAACTACTAGAGTACAAACACCACTCTAGTGGTTCTTCACAAAATAAAATTCCATCTGTTCTCACATATCACCCGGATTTACCAAACACTAGAGCCATCATTGACAAACATTGGCCAATTATTGAGCCTTCACAGAAACTCAGCAAGATGTTCCTAACTAGACCAACCATGGCATATAGGAGACCTAAAAGCCTCAGAGACATGATTGTTCGAGCCCAACTGATACCAATAATGACAGATAAAGTAGGTTAGTCTGGACCATGTGGCACATCATGATGCCAATCCTATGCTGCCATGCACCTTACAAATACATTCTCCTCAAAAATAGGGGCCAAAACATCTCTCAAAGACATAATGAATTGTAAAACGGCAAACGTTATTTACCTTATTTCTTGCAAAGTGTGCAAAAAACAATATGTCATTGAAACTAAACTTCATTTATTATAAATAAACGAATGAACTTACACCGCTCTGACAGGAAAACACGAAAATTTAACAGATCCCCAGTTGCTGAACATTTTCACCTTGAGAAACACAGTTTTAAAGACGTGTCCCTCTGTTGTATTGACCATAACACAAAGAGGTCAGATGTAACACGGAAATAATGCGCGAGACATACTGGATTCGCCGACTGTATACGCTAGAGACATCAGACATCTATAAACGAGACTAATTTTAACACGAATTCTTGCCCATTTTTGACAAACTGTTTTAAACCTGACTCTAGGCGGTGCCAAGAATGGCTCTTTTTCCATGTGCCTGAGAGCATCCCTATTACTTTCACCCTATCGAAAATTTCCACTTCATATAGTATGCCACTGACTGTAACTTGCGTTTTCTTACATTATATTGTCAGTAATGAAAACACAAAACGCCCTACATACACACCAATATATATTTATGGTCATTTAATGCACAAATCAGTGAAAATTCGATAATTTAACCTTCAAGGTCAAGGTCATAAAAGAGCCAAGGTCAATTTGAGTTTGATAAACAAGAAGGTCTTGTCCTTAAAAAAGTTCTGTTATAATATGAAATCAATCCATTCAATGATAGCAAAGCTACAGTAAAAAAATGTAAATTTCAATAATTTGACCTTCAAAGTCAATGTCATTTATGAGTGAAGGTCAAGGTCTGTCTGGTTATTTTAAAGGGCTATCCTTGAAGATTATTATGTTCAAATTTGAAGACAATCCTTTCAAAAATAACAAAGTTCCAGCCAATAATAGCAAGAACAAGCAAAAGTTTGACATTTGACCTTGAAGGTCAAGGTCATTTATGAGTGAAGGTCAAGGTAAGTGTAGTCTACTGAAAGGTTTTGTCCCAAGGGTTGTTGTGGCCGAATATGAAGACAATACTCCAAGAACTAAAAGTTATGATCAAGGTACAAGTTTGCGGACGACAACGCTAACGCCGCAAGGACTTTAACCATACCTCTACTTTTTTTTCCAAAAACAAAAGTCGAGCTAAAAAAAGTTTTATGGTATATGTAACGTACTTGTTTATTTTACATATTTTAAAATTAATAAGAGTTTGAAATCATCCCCAATATGTTGTCACTATAGACTCTAGATAGTCACAAAATGCCAGGATATCCCTTATTCTTTCAAAAAAATTTCTCGGGAAAGCATGACCTCGAACCACCCTAGTTAAGGAGTACATTTCAAAATAGCTCAGTTACGCCAAAATGTGCTGCTTCTTTAACTTCGGAACATCTCGCCGATTATTCCTAATCTGAGAGAATGACGGAAATAGCCGATATGTTGCTATTTGTTCGACTTATCAGAAGTTATTACTTTCCCGCAAATCGAACAATTAAATAAATCTTCAACATCTGTAAAAAAAAACCTCTCGCATGTTTCTTTTTAAAGAAGCAAACTTGTTTTACCATATGCTATTGTAAGAAAAAAATGCGTAATGAAAATACCAGTTCTCTTCCGAAAATTATTGACATGTAATAATCAAACACTTACTGTCGGTATGGAAAAAACACTGGCTGTCGGTATGGACGGGAATACCTAGCTCTTGGGTAACTGTTAAGCGGGAACTCGGCAGAGTTACCCTCTGGCTAGATATTCCGGTCCGTACCGGCAGGCAGTGTATGATCCTAATAGCCTACAATATACATGTTTTCTAGGCTTTAAAAACTTTTACACTTACCATTTTACAAAATTCATTCCATTGTTTCTCGTTTGAGACGTAAGGGTTTTTTTAGGCATGATCTTTAATTTCAAAAAATGACTAGAATCAATTACCTTTTTAATAAAAGGTAATCGATTGAAGAATAAGGTAATCGCATTTAAATTTGCGATACTTCAGACAATGTACGTTACATTTGCGTCACATTTTCAGGATTTATATCAACATTTAAAACAAGTACGTAACACTCATAAATAACCCTCTAGATTTGACAACTTATTTGGACAATTCATTTCTAGATGATTGTGTACCTGAAAGCGTAGATGAAGCGCTAAGATCTGAAAAAGAAAATAGGGTGATACAAGATAATGGTTATCCTTTGTTCGACTGCCTTGCACGGACTATCAGATCAGTTTTAGATACCAAAAGTCGATACAAATGCAAAAACGGCGATGCTAATGATAGCGCGACTCAAGTTAATACGATGGAAATGTATACGTCCTCAGTCTACCTACATGAAAAGGTTGTAGATCTACTCTTGACGCATGCGGCACATATTATGCCTGTCTTGTCATTACTTTGTGACAACGTTCCTACAGCAGCTATGCAGAACGAACAGGAAATGAGCAAAGAGCAAGAAAAACATTTGGAGACTTTTTATCAAACTGTGATTACGGACTGTTTATTCGGAACATATGATTCTTTTCCCATGCTTTGTCTCTATGCTGCGGCGACTTGCTTACAAACACCTATTTATATCCTTTGCGAAAACCAGATAGGTAAAATGCAATGGGCTTACTATCAGCCTTTATTAAAATGTGACGGTCAACCAGATGGATTCGAGTATTTGACAATGTTCATGTCATCACAAAAGAAGTTCCATGCGATAGTATCAAACGATGGGAAAGCGGGCATACCAATTGCTAAAGGACTGGTTGGCATGTATTACTCCATACTTGAAGGTAGTTTCATACAATAATTAAAAAGATGTATATTGTTTAAACCAATAAATTAGTTATAAAACTTAAATTAATTGGATTATTCATATGATAGTCATTTCAGTAGATTTTGAATTATATCATTTATATAAATATAATACTCTGACATTTTTAGGTCTTATCATGCGCATTAAATAGTATGTTTGTTTATTTTTTATCATTCAATGACATAAATACCTAGTATTAATTGTTAAAAGAAGATTTGAACTAGCAAAATACTTTGTTTTGTTTGACAAAATACAGTATATGATTCACCTAAACATGTGCATATTTGGCGCCCACATTTGTATGAGGTGCTTACAGATTTTTTTCTATTACCTCATTATTTGTTAATGAATTTATTAAACATATAACTATCGACATTTAAGTCCAACACATTGTTTAATTGCAGACACGTTAGTAACAAGCATCATGGTACCAGATGAGTTACAGAACTTACAGATAGCAGACAAAATTAAGATGTGTGAACAACTTGATCATGAAATATTTCAGCAATGCTGGTAAAATCAACACTTTAGTTTAACTTTGTTTTGCAGATGCGTTTATCATTCGCCTTTTAAACTGTTTAATTCGATGCGATCCTATAAATATCTAAAGCCTGTATCACATCAGTTGCACGAAATTTGGTTCGTACGATTTGTAGAAAAATCTGTGCCGCAGAAAGATCGTAGGCAATTTCGAAGTCTATCTAGATAGATTTGTAGATATGTCACTTGACATCATTTGATTACGGCCGCGTAAGCTGCAATATGCTCGGGCGGCGTATCTGCAGCCTTCGCAAAACACAAAAAAAAACGCAAAATATTTTTACATGAGAACCTCTATAAATCGAGAGTCTATCGTACGTTTGTCTTACGACAGTCTTGAGACGTCCAAAATATGTCAACAAATCGCAGAAATAATGTGCATGATGAGAAATGAGTCTGCGACATTGCGGCAACCTTGCGACCTTAAATAATTCGTGCGAATGTCTTGCGGCTATATTTTCAGGCTTTCACAGTCCTTGTTTACTAATTTAATGTTTGCTTATATATTTAAAGCAGAGCAAGAAAATAACAAATATAACAAATTCAAACTGAATTTCAGTGATTTGTTTTGTAAAGAAAACGTTGTTCAGAAAGAAGACTACGACAGAATGACAGCACATCGAGCTGACAGGTCAGAGTTTACCCGATTTGTCGAAAACTCACCGGATGCCTTCAAAATTGTCTGTCAGGTAAAATAAGTTGTAAATCCTACTATGTGTATTAAAAAAATGTTATTATTATCTTCAAGTTCAAAATTTCTTTACATAATTAATGTTTGTAGAGATCAATCTTTCTTTTCAAGCTATCATTAAAATCACTTAAAGAATTTTCGGTAGTTGTGCGCATTGTAATGCGCTTCCAAGAAAGATAATCACCGATAATTACTCTTCAAAAAAGAAGGTAGTTGAATAGTACTCGGATAACTGTTTAAATTTCGGCTGCAAACAAATAATGAGTAATAAATACAGAATAAATATTTGTAAATATTTGGAGAGCGGTTCAAAAGAATAAGAGGGTCGTTTAGACAACATAAGATAAAGGATTTCTCCTTGCATTTGTACGAAAATATTGATTTATTATTATAATACTGGGCGTTCTATAATTAAGTAATCCTTTATTTCTTTTTGAAATACAATCCATGTACTCCTCTTTTACATTACAACAAATACAGAATTAAGACCGTTTAGAATAATTAGTCAATGTATCTTGCGCAAAGACCAGTTGCCTACCTCCAAGGTCAAGGTCACACTTAGAGTTCAAAGCTTAATATTGTCTGTTATAGGGTATATTTTGTTTCAAGTTCATAACTTTATCATCCATCGAGGGATTTTGAAAATACTTGGCACAAATGTTCACATAACATCCTTCAAGATCATGGTTACACTGATTGGTAAAATCTTAACACTTTATAGGGTATATATTGTGTCCAGTTACTTTTTCGTCAGTCAAGGGATTTTAAGATGACTTGGCACAAATGTTAATAATAATAAGACAACAGGTCATACGCAACACACAGACCCCTACTTTAAAGTTCAAGGTCATACTGGAAGGTCAAGGTCTAAAATGGCCTGTTACAGGCTAAGATGTCAAATCAGGCCCATGCAAATAAAATGTCATTTGTGAATCTCCTACGTATCTTGATCGATGAAAAGTGTATGGCCTGGACACAGACCAAACTCTTCATTGATTTTGTATTTGTCACATTTCATAGCTTTAAGATAGTGATAATAATTATTCAAATGTAGGTATGTTGACACATTTCATTTCTGTTGACATAATGATCTTAATGAATTTATTGTTACTTGCATGTGCAGATCTAGCATTGATCAATATTTTGCACCGAAATCATTTTCTCATTGTCTGAGTCTCTAAGTGCCGCATTACCAAGACAACGTTTTTAATGAAACGTGACAGTGTATGCTCACACAGCTTATCACCTAAGGTCTTATGTTTTTATACAGAGAGGACAGTCTAGAGAAAAACGATGAGATGTTTCTCTTTGCCCACAAACCATATGATATTCTTATAAAAAAGGTAGTTGGCCAATAAGCTACAGTTGGTCTTCTACTCTGCTTTAGTAACGATAATGTTTGAGAGTTGCAAACGTCGATTTGAAGACTGTTTAAGGCTTGAGTTGTGGACGTTGGAGAAGGAATTATAATATAGCGTGATACGAGCTCTTGGAGCTCTGTAACAGCTCTGTTACAGTTTAAATGTCGTTAGTTGTTCATTGGTGGAAACTTGTAACATTTAAGAAAGATAAGGATGGACAAGATATTTGGTCATTTCATAGCAAGAAAAAATATTACATACATTCATATGTAATATAGGTACGATTGCATACAAAATTATGTATGAGACTTTTTATATTTGGTTCAGAACATATGAAAATCGTGCAAATCCACAGGAATAGGAATATATCAATAAAAATCCATTTTATAATTTTTTTTGTTCTCTGAACTGTAAAACAAAGCTAACACGGCCACTATCTGCCCATGTTTTGTTTTTGTTTTGTTTTTACAAAAACACCATTATTTAATATCAATTGATCCAATAAAACCCAAAAGATACGGTTTGTAAATATTTATTACAAATAAATATAAAAAGAATTTTCCTATCCTATGCGACGCGCCAATTTAAGCTATAATAGTTATATATCTCGCGTTGATTTTGCGATGGAGCTTCAAGATAAATCACGTGTTATAGTAACGATACTAAAATGCATGTCCCTGCTCGGAAAGTTTCTTCAGCCAAAATATGTTAGAAATTTATAATTGCAATAATTATTCTAAGTTTGTTTGCTACATACAGATTTTCGATTTACTATTTGCAAACTTTTTCTCTGTCTGACTATGACGGTGAGTTGGTGTTTTTTCATTGACTGAATCTCGTGATCAATACACATGACGGTGTGAACTAATTTCATTTTCTTTGAAATGATGACTTTAATCGGACATCTAACAATTTTATTTACAAAACAAATGATAAACCAATCTCAGAAGCATTTAAAATAATAAATACTCATTGCAAAATAATAAATGCATATAAATTGTAAATTTGTGTATGACAACTTACCCCCTAAATAAAAAAAATAATAGACCAAAAAAAGCGTTTGCTCCTTTAACTAATTATGTAGTGTAGTAGCATGACCATGATTTGCAAATCAAATTTAAGAGCTAAACCAATTGATTAAAAAATACAATACACAGCAGATTTTGTACAAAAACAGTTTGTTTTGGTTTCGACGTGATTCAAGGGATTGATTCCACCCTACCTCGGACAAAACTTTAGCAATTGACACAAGGTTAGTTGCACCCGATACAATACGAGCTACCACCTTTTCGATTGTTTCATATCCGTGGGTTGTACAGTTTTCAAAGATTACATCATCGTATTGTAAAAGTAGACAAATAAAATACATATATTTTTCCGGTGAATGACAACAAAGACTAATTTAAACTTTTGCATTACATTGATACGCTTCGCTTGTACGCCTTTTCAGTTATATAGTTTATTTAACTTTTCCATCTGAGATCGAAAAAGAAGACTACATGTACACCAAGATGTTTATGATGTGTAACTTCTTAATTAATCTCCCCATTCATACCTAAGGTTGGATGGACTTGATTGCCAATTATATTGAAAGTCAAGATAAGAGATTCTATGTTGTTGTTTTTTTGGATTGAACTGGGTTTTAGCCCACTTGGAGAAAGTAGAGAGGTCAGGATTATGAGTACTATCAGCAGAGGTAGGAACATCTTCTATTAATATAGACTCATGTTGTTATACAATAGGCGAATATTGGCTTGTATATCAAAAACAATGTCATAAATATACGTTAACAACAAAAGAGGTCCCAAGATGGATCCTTGATGTACTCCTGCTTTAATAAAAGTGTTCCATTTAGAATGTGCACTAGGTATAAAAACACATTGATTGCCTGCGGCCAAAACAAAATGGGAGAGAACCATTCAAGAAAGCTTGAATGCCATACATTTATGTATAAACAAGAAGCCTGTATGCCACATCCTGTAGAATGTTTTACTAACATCACAGAATACGGCACGACCTTTCTTTTAGGATTTAATTGCTTGAGCCATCGGGTATTAAGCCTGACTGAAGAGAAGTACAGCGGTTGTTTGAGTGAAGGTAGTTTCAAAAATTTTGCCAATTGTAGAACGCTAGTTTCTAGAAAAAGACCGATCACCAGACTTGAATTTGGGCAATTCCAACATATGGGAAATACCCAGACCGATAAATTCAACAATTCAGCTAAAGGAGTAGAAAGCATAACATTATACAATTCTATTAGTCTTCTATTTTATACAGTCTGGACTTGCTGCTTTACCAAATGCTTAGTGTATAAGGTGTAGTATGATGCACTTTTAGGTTAATTAGTCAAGCATAATTTTATGATTCAAATAAATGACACACACAGTTAGAGTTAAATGTATTTTATGTCATAATGGAAATGTTATGCATGACATGATTTATTTAGTTATTTTACTATACGCGAATATACTTGTGAATTATATCTCAAAGTGATTAATATACCTATACAAGTACAAATGTTGCTGCAATGCAGCAATTGAGAAGCTCTGCGCAAAAAAATGCGCTCATTGCAGCTACCTTACCAAATCATTTCTGTGCACAAGTCATTTTCTATTCAGATTAAGGAGTAGTGTACATTATTTTGAATGTTTTGTAAATCATTTAAATTTGCATAATTATACTTATCGTATGCACTGTCCATGACAGAGGGGCCAGATGTTAAATTTGAAAAAAATGCTTTCACTGATGCCTACCTGGTTAGGAAAGTAATTCCAATACAAACAAGACTTACAAGACTTGTAAATGTAATGTGACATGACAGTAGTGCAACATTGTTCTGTTTGTGTCACTACTGTAGTCAGTAATATTAAATGATAAAAAATATAAATGCATGTAAATTTTCTTTTTCACTTTTAAAACTACTCACTTTCTACAAATATCAACAACTTTTCATTGTAGGAAATATTAAAATCTACATGTTAATATTAATCCAAATCGACTTTATTTTTTCAAAATATCCGTTACATGTTTCGCGCTAAATGGTAAATCATATTACACAAGAAAGGCATTGATGCAAAGCATCAAATGGTGTCCAAGCAAGAAATGCAGCAAGTGACGATGAATTAGTAGACATCTGATGACGAGATATTCTTTTAAATTTTTCAATGGTTAATTGGATTTTAGAGAATTGTACATGTATATCATAGATGAATGGGCGGACGAAAGACATTGTTCATCATGAACTTTGATAGTTTTGCTAAAGATAAAAAATATTAAATGTCTTTTCTTTGAAACATACAAAACAGTAGTCAAATTGAACAAAGTCTGTTTTTTATTATAGTTGTAACACATATACAAATAGCATTCAAAAATAGTAACAAAAGAGATTAATATTGTAATATAACAGTCATTTTTTTTGCTATCAAATTAAGAAAAATGGTTTCTTTTGATGCTTTGGACTTAAGATACAATAGCTATATTTTAAGTCTTGAAACAATGTTGTTGCAAAGTGTCTCTAATTGCAGCCAATCATGTTCAGTATTGGTACGCTTGGCTTTTTTGTAATATCTTCGTCTTTGTCTGACAAGTTGTGTTAAGTTATGAGGAAAGCAGGGTAGGCTATTTGGTATAATGGTGACGTCAATGTTAGGAATACATATTTTTGAAACATCTATTATGACTTATGTGATTCTGTAATTTTGTGTGTCTGTATATCTATGCTTAGATCTTTAAACTGGTGCCAATTTGTATTACTTCTAGTTCTCGAAGTTGTTGATATTTGTCTTTGTCAAACAGCAATTATTTTGTGTTTTGTGTAAGTGTATTTGGCCAAAATTAGGACAATGACATCTAACATGTTGCTCTCACCAAGATTCACTTACACCAACAGTGTATATGAACGAAGGATTCTATGTGATATATTGATCAGCGTGGAGGAAGTTTATTGAAGTGAATTGGCTCTGATATAAGTTTAGTAAGAGAAAGTTATTGACAAAGTAAAAGAAACGTTCTTGCTTCTATAAAATTGAGCATTTTGATATTTAATATAATATAATTATAATTTTAACGCAAAGACGCTCAATTCTTGAATTTCTAAATCGTGACGACTCAAAAACGATAGCAAATTTTCACATACAAAATCACTCCTCCGTGACTGTCCCCATATCCGATCATGAAAGCCTTCAAAGGGTAATTCACAGTTTGGTGTATAACTATTTATACACGCTGTAGAGAAAGAAACGATATCAAAGTCCTACTATTCGGCAAAGAGTGTGTTTAGGTTATGCTTAATGTCCTGAACGTAGTGCATAACAGAAAGTTAAGATAAAATATATATTAAGTCTATGCTTGATTCAGATAAACGGGAACTACATGTACTTGAATTTGATCGTGAGCTTCAAACGGAAATCCAATAAATGAGCATTGGAAACTTAATAACTTATTCATGTTTTGTGGTATTTTTAGTTTCTTCTACTTGGCTTTTTTCAATTTGGGTGGTTCCAGTATTCCTACTTGAATACTGTCTAATCACCCTTAGAATATGTTGCCTGCTTTTTAAATTTGTATTGTGACGTATTATCTGTGATATGCAGGCTTCATAACCTCTGATCCCCTTTCAAAATTCAATTTTATTTAGTTCCGCCCATTTTTTTCTCGTTTAGGGCAAACGCATTTTTTTACTTGGGGACCATATGCCGCTTTTCATTGAATGACACTTACGTGTCACATTGAAGGTTCCATGATAACCGCCATATGAACACATCTGCGCATGTTTCAAAATTCCAAATTGTAACAGTTCATGTATAATGTTGAATTCTGCTTAAGCCGGTGCTAGGGGGCGTGGACGGTAATTTGCATTTTCCAGTACCGTCCATGAACAGGCTCAATCAAACCGAGCCTGCAACATTGTCAATTTTGCCGTGTTGGGCTTTCTTTAGGGATTCTGTTTATCTCTATTTAATAACATAACGGAGACAGTATAAAATACAATAATTTGACATTATTGCAGGGAATTCTAAACATAGGATGCTTGCGTTTGAATCTAAATTTATCATGTCATTCTGATGACTGAGTAATGACTGAATTATCGACACGGGGTATAGTGGTGATAGATATAAGTATATAGGAGCTATAAATATTACAGAGAATTGCAATTGTGAGTTAAGTTTGTCCGACGCCAGACATCACAGATATAAAAAAGAAAAGGAAAATAATCATTCTGTGTAAATGTGATTCGTGTGAGATAGAATAATATGACATAAGATTCAAGAGGTTAATTTTAAAATTATAAATGTGCAATTATATGTTAATAATTTACTAGAAAGAGCGAAAAAAAGTGTAATCGTGATAATTAAAAAATACAACAATAAATTGGTAAAAATGGAACATCAATGACTTGTTAATAATCATCACTCTTGCAAACCATTAAATACATTTAAGGACTGCAATAGCATCTTTTGGTACGAGAATATAAATCATGAGGCTTAGCCATTGACCCTGCCAGCAGATTTTGAAAGAGCAAAAAAAATATAAATATAATTTATTATGTATTATACAGTATTGTTGTGCACGCACGTGCATATAATGTTTTTTCGTATTTTCATGTATCTGTTGTATTGTATACAATGATGGCAGGCTTCTTAACACCAAGTTGAAATTGTATAATTACATAACATTTTTGGTATTCATACACGTACAAAAACAACAATTCAATACTGTTTAATATCCCTTATGATTTGTTGCCTTATTTCTTCATTTGTCTTCTGACGCCATTGTGTCATACGCGGTCTAAATAACCTCTGATACCTTTTATTTTTTCATTTATTTTGCACTGCCAATTATTTATTCGTTGGTGGCATAAACATTTTTGAATTTGAATAAATTCTAAAAACTGCTAAGCCGATGATAGGGGCCTTGGACTGTTCATTTGCATTACGCCAGCGAGTCAAAGAATTTATACATAACTGTATGGATTCAACTGTTCAAACACAAACCATATACGAATATTTTAAGTTGTGTAGATTAAAATGAGGAAAACAAATCTTAAGTAATTTTTATCATTTAATTAAAGATATGCAATCGTTATAGACACATTGCTTCTGACAAATGTAGCAAAATTTGCTACGACGTCACTTTGTCAGAGGAGTATTGCCTTTTTTAATAGTTGAATGGTGAATACAATTTTTACTCCTTCGCGAGTTTAACCCGAGGAGACTATAAATTTTTCTTCCCTCCGTCTGTCCGTCGGTCAGTCCGTCCGTCTGTGAGTCTGTAAAACTTGATACTCAAATAGAACTAAAATAATTTTATCAAACTGGAAATATGGAAAGATGCCAGCAAGGAAACTATGTACCTCTTTTTTCCTGCATTGAAATATCTGGTTTCTTTGACAACAAACGTTAAATATGGCTAAATTACCAAATTATTGTGATAACTTACACATAACTGAAACTTTCACGAATTTCAATCTTAAAAAAAACCCGGATAAATGGTGTTTATGTACATCAATTTTAGCTCGTCTCATTCGAAAAAAGTGAAGCTATATTAATTGCTGATCTTTGTTGTTGCAAAAACTTTAATGTAGCCAATTTCTTAAAACAAAAAAAACATGATTGAGTCATTATGTAACCTAGAATGCTTTGTTATCATGAAAATTGCAGTTGGGACATTAGTTAAGCAGAGCTAGGGTTCGTTTCCACTGCATAAATGACGCAATGAGATCTATCTATCTACAAAGCTTCATGTTGATATCGCTTAGAGTTATATCCCGAACAAATTTGAAGTGTGAAAATGAAAATAGGGTAATAACTCCAAAAATAGGCAAAGTAAGGGTTACGTTTGTTTTTTGTTGCTTTTGTTTTTTTTTTTTTTTTTTTTGTTTTTGTTTTTTTTTTTTTTCACTGTCCACCTTCCCAATGTGATCTATCTACCTACAAAGTTTCATGTTGATACCTCTTGTTGTTTCAAAGTTATGTCCGGACAGACGGACAGAGCGGCAGCTATATACTCACCTTCGGGGAGCATAATTACTAAAATGAATGTTTGAATGCTTTTTAGTCATGGCAAAGCACAGTTTAAAGATAAAGAATATTATTCTGAAGGCTATGTTTTTTAAAGGATTGTCGCTTTTTAACTTTTTGTTATAATTGCCTTATAACTTGATTTATTTAAAAATTATGTAAAGGAAATTATACTGACGCCAAAATTTTAAACGTTATGGCCCTTTTAAAGTAATCAAGTTTTTAAAACTTTGTTACTTATAAGAAAAGCGTATAAACACTTCACGCGGTGATGTTTTTTCTTCTTCCTATGTTGCTAGGACAACAAATAGACCTAACATATTGAAAAAACAAATATATTCTGACTCATTTATTAAGGGCGTTACTGACATACTTCTTGTGGGTTCTAATAGGTAGGACCTTTTTGTATTGCTTGCAGTACTTTTAAAATTGCTTGATTAGTTTTAGAAGTATACATTCGCAGGTTTTTAAACATTCAGGTAAAATGCAGTGTGATTTTGACATTTATAAAGTATTTATGTACATTTTTTACTTGAGCACTTTCGCAAAATCTCAAACTAGCTATCAATTACGACCAATAAATACAAAACACAACATCATACTGCGTTTAGAACTTGTTTGTATCCCTAATTGAACGAAAATTTATTTGTCACGAATAGTCCGACCTAAAACTTCCAAACAGTTGATAAATATTATTTGTGCAACTTCAAGATAATGACTTGTACACATAAATAATGTTTATTAATGCCTACAAACCAAGCAAAGATGTTTATATCTAAAGAGGGTTTTGTTTGTAAGAAATGTTTTATTCTCATTTATAGTTACTGTATCCAATGAACGTTTCTTTTATTTTCAGGTTTTAATTAAACGTCGTAAACGGACTTTCTTAGAACCGTACATTAGGAACTGGACTGAATTCGGTGAGTTTGCCTTATGTTACTGTTTTTAAAACTTTAAATTGCAAGACTGATAACGAGCAGTTTGTTCTCTCAATGGTTTGACCGTACACGCATATATATCATTAACACTAATAAGGTAATGATAAATGAACAATTTTCTAATATATCTTACGTTGCCATCAGAACATATGGGTTTGTTAATGTCATGATTATTGTATTCAGATATTTAAGTGTATCCTCTTTTTACAAGTATATGGAACGGTCCAAATACATTTGAAGTTCTTTCAATTTTGCAATGTATTGTAGAATAACACATAAAAAGTGCATAATTTATGTATGCACAAAAGAACATGATCTCACAGTTCCAGGAGAATTAACTAAATTCTATTTCTTGAACGATATAGTTTAATATTGTAAAATAACAAATGTAAACACCATTTGTTTATCATGGAAAATTAAAAAGCTTTTTTGAAGTAATGGAAAGTGGCAATTCTGAACTGTTTCTGTCCAATCACATATCCTAATTCTAAGTTGAGCTCAGAGAATTTCTTTATAACATGGACAAATGAGAGAACATGGATGTACCCCAGACAAAACTTGAACCCACAATCACTTGATTTAGAAGCAAACATATTAACTATGGAAATGCTATGGAAAGAGCGAGAACAATTGCTTTGTAAGTATGCAAAACAATATACATTGATTATCCTATATATATTTTTTCAGGATATCTATCAACAGATGAAACAACTTTGTTGAGAAATATGGCGACTGACTTTGACATGTCAGGTCGTGATAATTTGGAGCTTGAAAAAGTTAAACAAACACTCATTTGCGAAAATCAAAGTAGAATTGTTAAAAGCAATGGTTTGTCTATGTTTGAGTGTATTGCTGATGGTGTCAAATCGGCTTTGATAGCTCAAGGTCAAAATGTAAATGGTAGAATAATAAATATAAATACTTTACAAAAATGCACTGACAAAAACTACCTTCATAAGGCAGTTATAGATATACTGTCTAAGTATGCGGAACAGTTTATCCCCCACTTGCAATTACTTTGTGGGAATATTCCAAAAGCAGCTATGGCAACTGGACAGAACAGAAACAAAGACCAAACAAAGGTTTTGAAGAATTTCTATCAGAGTGTGGTTAATGATTGTAAAGACTTTAAAGCATGCCATTCATATGCTGATCTATTTATTTATGCTGTGGCGACTTACCTACATACACCTATATATATCCTTAGCAAAAACCAGAATGGAAAAATGCAATGGGTTTACTATCAGCCGTTATTCGAAAGTAATGGTCCAATAGGCTTCAAGTACTTGACAATGTTCGTGTCATGCCATGGGAAGTTCCATACAATAGTGTCAGACAATGGAAACGCAGAAAGACCAATTGCTACAGGACTGATTGGTATGTATTTCTCGGTTCTTAAAGGTAATATCAACAAAATGACTTTACTGCTGTTTATTTTATCTTTTCTACCACGTTGTATTAAGAGACGTACGATTCTTTTTCTACCACGTTGTATTAAGTGACGTACGATTCTTGTTGTCTTCAATTTCTTAAAACTATATCTCTCGTCAAAATCGATCCCACCTTAGAGGTCATGTGTTTTTTTATAGTTTAGATAGACCAAAAGCCTTCGCAAATTTTGTTCTCTGGGCCAACAATGGCTAGGACATAGATATTTTGCATTAAGTATTATCATAACGACATTTACAAAGATTGCTTGAAATACGAATATGACTACAAACTTTGCGCTACCGCATAGGTTATTGGCTTTGTTTTAATAATTTGAAATAAAAACATGAACAATTCTTTCCTTAAGGCCCTGGTGGCTAGAACATAGATATTTGGCACGAAACATCATCAAAGGCATCTCATACCATATTGTTCACATTGTGGCCCTTGAGTAGAATTTGGCCTTGTCCGTGGTGGGGATTGATTTTCCTAATATGTATATAGTAAAAATCTTTTACCCTAAAAGATGATCCATTGAAGCTTAAATATTTTGGTATTGAATCTCAACCAATAATCTTGTAGTTTTGAAATTATGACCTTTGGAAAACAATATTATACCCGGGTGGTATGCAATTGATTTACATTGATTTTAATAAATGTGATGTATATAGTATAACCTTCAAATATCTTCATTTCTGAAAACCTATAGCTTAAAGCATAGACATTTGGAATAAAAAAAAATTTGGTGGGCATCTATAAAGGATGCTCAAACTATGGACCTGAGGAAAAATAGTCTTTTCTCTGGGGACATTGATTTTAATACGTATACAATAAACCACTCAATTTCCCTTAATGTTCAAAACCCTAAAAGGTCATATTTATTTTTGTTTCGCAAAAAAACAATGTCAAGTCTACCTTTACCAAAATTGTTCTTATTAAAATTCTGTTATCAAAATTAGCTAATCCCCGAGGGACGGGCAATAATGGGTCATAGATTTTTCTTCAATGTAGGCTTTTTTCTAAAAACGAAATGGGTTTTACAGTCATTTCATTGGACACGGAAGTAAATCATTAATACTGATTGATTTTAAGGTTAATTGGTCAAAGGTCTAGTTCAAATTGGCGTGGACTACTTAAACATTGTAAAATGTGATCATGTGATATATTCGTCTTTAAATAATTTCTTGCATCAGAAACACGCGATTGTCAAGAACAAAATATAGTGTTGTTTAGCTTGTTAAGCTAGCTGGATAATTTCCTCAAACGGAAAAATAAAAAATATCCGGTTTGAGCCCACTGAGGTGAGAGAGAAGTTATTTGAAGTTAATAACCTTTACCACTTGACCACGGATGCATTCGTAAATATAATAGGTGAATAATCATTAGTATCATAGTTTTTAAAGACACTTAAAAACAGCAATCTGCATTTGTAGATTTTTTTTATTTTAGAAACGCCAGAGACAAACACCAGAATATTAAATGTGTTAGAAAACTTGCCAGCGGTTGACAAACATAACCTGTATACAGAGCTTAAACATGAGGTAGTTTTGGAATGCTGGTAAGTTCTTCATTAATATTTCACTAACGTTTTGCATAAATATAAAAACAGACTTTTCATCATTCTTTTAACGTTAAATTATCAGTTCACATCTTCTAACTACCAAGTTGAGTAACATTTCTGCACATTTCATTGCCATTAATGCATTCTGTACGATAATGGTTAATGCTTTATACAATGTTTGAATGACATAGTAAAAGCAGCAGTAGTTGAAAAGTTTGTATTTTGTGCACTTCTCAAAGTTATAAAGGGAACGAACGACAAAAAATATTATTAACAAGTTATAAAATGGTACTCAAAATGTTATTGTAGTTTTGCTTATCTCAAGGGGGAGAATCACGCCGTTCGTTACCCAAACAAACAAGATGGCGGATGCAGCCGAAAAGTATTTTTTTCCTTTTCCTCTCTGAAATTCGCAATGTTCTTGTATAAAGGTATATATAATAACCTTCTCCACAATTTTTCGGGCACACATGATTTTATTTCATGATGTTTCGTCATGTACTTCTTTTGAAATGCGCGTCTCAAGAATCGAAGCGAGAGAATCGTCCACCGGTTTGATCGTGATAACGTACGGCTTCTTCTCTAAAATTCACGGTTTCTTTTACATATATGTATATTAACTGAAACCTCTGACTTAAAAAAGTTGTAATATGTCGTCATCTAAGCATCCATGCCCATTCTTGCTAGATTTACGTCTGTTAATATTAATATCGGGCATTTTCTGGAAATGATGACGTATGGCGCGAAAAATATCAATGATTACGTACGGTGCATTTTCCTACTTGGTAGATTTCTATTTGTCCAATCAGCTGATAATGAATTATTTGTATGTAGGAAATGATAGATATCTGAAGAAAATGTTTGTCAGTTCAGAAATAGATAATTGAACAATGCTGCCCCTTTGGGTATAAATATCTTTCTACTTTCGTTCTATGCTCCAATACAATTGCTTCCAAATCCGATATAACATAACATATGGGGCATTACAAGAAAGCTACATTTTGATATTGCATTTTCGAAACCTTTTGTTTCGCGATTTCGTCAAGGCTTCTAGAATTATGCGTTTATCACAAGCTTACACATTGTACATGTCAAGTTATAAGATATATTTTACGTGTTTTAATTTAATAAGTCAATCCATTTCTCAATATGTCTATTTATAAACTTTATATTGGTTCCCTAAATGTAAAGGGATTACGTGCAAAGCCCAAACGTTTACGGTTTTTAGAATGGGTAAATCAACAAAAATTAGATATATCATTTCTCCAAGAAACTCACTTTACAAATGATATTTTGGAAGATGTTAAAACAGATTTTAAAGATTATCACTTTTACAATGCATTTGGACCTACGACTCTCTCAAAATGTTGCACTTTATTAGTTCTGGGGGATTTGTGCTTTTAAATATTGACTTTTCGGGAACAGTTTTCACTTTTGTTAACATATACGCACCAAATGACAAACGTTGTAGAAATAACTTTTTCGAACTTATTAACAATAAGATTGAAGAAGAATCATTAGGCTTAAAAATAATGGGAGGTGACTTTAATGATGTACTCAACGGAACAGACAGGTATACTCATTCCAACTCGCGCACTAAAACATCAGAAAAGCTTAAAAATCTAATACATTCACATAGTCTATGCGATATATGGAAACTTGAAAATATAAATAAAATACAATTTACTTGGAAACGGATTAAATGCGCGGAAAAAAGTCGCATTGATTTTTGGCTTATTGAAAAAAGTATGTCACCTTTAATCGTCAGCTACGACATAAGACCTGCACAAATAATGTACACTGACCACTTAGGTATTAGTCTAAAAGTAAATATTCCTAGTCATCGTGGAATAATTCTCATTTAGAAGATAATGAATATAAAAATCATATCATAAATACCATTAGTTCTGTTCAAAATAAATTCAAATCTCATGACATTGATCATAGAACAATGTGGGAAATATTAAAAAAACAGTATTAAAGAAAAAAGTATTTATTTCTCAAAGCTGAAAGCTAAACATAATAGTAACCGATTAACGAGTTTAGAAGAAAGACTTTCGCAGCTATACGAAGAATTTCATTCGCATAATTCTCAAACAAATAAAAGATTTAAAAATCGAAATCGAGACGATATATATACATAAAGCAAACGGTGCAAAAATACGCTCACGTGTACAGCTCATCGATGAAGGTGAGAAAAATACGAAGTATTTCCATTCGTTAGAAAAATCGAAACAAACGAAAAAAGCTCTTAACTCGTTAAAAATTGACGGAAAACATATAACCAACTTTGAAGATGTAATGAACGCAGAGGTAAAATTTAACCAAAATTTATATACAAAAAAATGAAGAAAGCGAGAATTAAGGGGATTTTTTCGATAACATTGTTTTTAAGAAAACGCTAAAAGACAAAGACTTGGAAGACTTAGAATGTTTAATAAATATAAATGAATGCGAAAGCGCACATCTTAGCATGAAAACCAACAAAAGTCCAGGTAATGACGGACTTACAGTCGAATTCTATCGTACATTCTGGCATCATATAACATTTTTTTTAGTAAATTGTTATAACGAAATACACAAAGAAACGAACTTTCAGCTTCTCAGAAAATCGGTGTTATTTCAGTATTGTACAACAAGGAGACCCAGACACTATTTAAAGTTGGCGTCCAATATCGTTGCTTAATAACGACTGCAAAATTTTAACTCGGGTACTCGCGATAAGGTTACAAAAAATACTTCCGAATATTATAGACAGCGATCAACAAGGTTACATAAAGAATCGTTTTATTGGTAATAACATACGACAAATATCAGACGTTATTGACTTTTGCGGAAAACATAACATTGATGGAAACCTTTTGTTTTTAGATTTTAGAAAGGCTTTCGATACGATCGAGTTTGACTTTCTAGTTAAAACCCTTGAAAAGTTTCACTTTAAACCAATATTTATTCGCTGGATCTTTACAAAGATATCTCGTCATGTATATTAAACAATGGTTGGATATCAAAAAACTTCTCTCTATCACGTGGTCTCAGACAGGGATGCGGAATTTCTTCGTTGCTTTTTATCATCGTTGCCGAGGTCTTAAATTCGAGAAAATAAAGACATTAACGGAATCTCAAAAAAAAATAAACAATGAAACTTTTATTCTTAAAATGACACAACTAGCCGACGATAATACAATGTTCTTAAAAAGCAAAGAAGACATACAAAAAGGATGATCAACTATTGAAATTTTTTGAAAACATTCTGGTCTACATCGAAATTTGCACAAGACAGAAGGTGTTAGATTAGGGAACAACTTTGATAATTTAGAATTTACTAACATAAAATGGAGCGAAAAAGTAACAGCTTTAGACGTCTTTTTTGGCACAAAAAAAAAATGAATGCGAAGAATTAAACTGGGAAACGAATATTCAAAACTGTTTTTTTTTTTTAACTGTAAAATCTTAATTACTTCATGGAAGAAAAGGAAACTTACTATTTATGGACGACTTACTGTTATAAAACCAATTTTACTTCCAAAATTTACCTACTTAATGCAATCACTGTATTTTCCAGATAAGATACAGAAAAAACTCAACTCATTATTAATAACATACCTCTTGGACGATAAACGTGTAAAAGGTTAAAAGAAAAATATTGATAAACGATTTCGAAAATGGCAGTTTAAACATGATCGACATGAAAGTTTTGTTACTATGCTGCAAGTAAAATGGGTAAAATCCCTATACTTTCAAATGAATTTGCGAACTGGAAAGTCATCCCAAGTTATTTCTTAAACAAATTCGGCAAGAATTTCCTTGTTTTTGCATGAACTTAAAATCTGTCTCAAGTTTACCAAAATACTATTATACTTTACATGATTTCTATAAACTTTTAAGAACTTATTAAAAATGGATTTTATTTAAAAAAAATTAATAAGAAGCAGCCAAAACACTTCTTTGATATTCGTAAAGAAATAATTTGGGGAAAAGAACAAATTTTATGAAATAAAAAATCTTTATATTTTCATATTTGGATAAGTCTGACATAATTTTTGTAAATCATATTTTCGATGCAAATTGCGATATCAGTTAACATCTTATTCTTTATTAAATCGAATTAGCTATCCGAAATTTATAGGCTACGTAAAGTTATACCGCAACTCTGGAAATTCATCTCAAAATCTGACGAATCAATCAAAAGTAGAGTTAAAACTGACTTATCTCCTTTACTTTTAAAGGAATCGAAAAAGAGATTTATATCATACTTAGAAACAATAAAGCGGAAAAAACATACATTCATCGCCTATGGGAAATTTTATTTGAACATGACATTCCGTGGAATAAAGTATACCTGAATATAAAATCAAGCATTGACGATAGATATAAACAGTTCCGTTATTAACTCATTCATAATATAATACCGACAGGGGATAACTTGTAAATATAGTCCGAAATGCGTCTGATAGCACAGAACATTTCTTTATTCATTGTCAATCACTAGATGCTTTCTGAAAAATAATTATTGAAACTTTTAAGTCGCTAGGAATCTGTAAACATATTTTCAATCTCAAAAATATTGTACTAGGTTATAATTTCGAAAATACGCAGCAATCAAGTCTTTGGCAAATTAATTTGATCTTTACAATTATTGGTTTAAGTATATACAAATATACAAAGCTTATATGATGAGTAACCAACGCGCCGATACTATAAACATTGATGGAACTTTTCTACACGAACTTAACAATATAAAACTATACCTGGTCCATAAGAAATATAATTCTCATTTAATTAAACGCTTTACAACAAACTTTTAATATTGTCAGGCATGTTAATAGATGAGTAAAATTATGTTATAATAGTTTATTACAGCTATCAGGGTCTTTCAAATAACCCCCTGCAGCTATGTATACCTTTTTCTAAACTGTAATTCTTATATAATATCATACATGTTTTTGATATGTTAAATGCACTAACTGTACAAGTATTATATGCAAATGTTCTTTGTGCAAATGTTCTTAAAGTTTTTAAATAAAAGATAAAAAAAATGCCAGTTCCTGGTCACAAGAAAATCAAAAGCAATGGATGGTGTGATATTCAGACTTAATTAACTTTACAAATGCTGCTGAAAAACAAACAAGAGTATTGTCAATTATTATTAATTAAATGATATTGTTTTCCATAAATGCTGTTGTAATAAAAGAATAGAACATCACTTTTAACTGCTAACAGAACCATAGTGTATTCTGGTGTCAGGAAAATAATTATTATTGCTTATTTTTGTATCTTTCTTTAGATAGATAAAAGTAATAAAACATTTAAAGTGGACAACTATACCTCAATTGGTATTATGTATGTTGTAGTTTCCTTTAAGTACAGAAATGACTCCTTCACACAGTAAGCTTCACTTTAAATAAGTTGTTCCGGACCTAATACATTTGACTGTTTACTAAGTACTTCAGAGAGCTTCATTTGAACTGTGTGGGCAACTTCTTACTGCAAAGTATGAGCAAAGATTAGTTAAAGAATTCAACAGCATAATTTGTTCAAATACAAGAAACTAGAAACCGATAATGATTATGCTGTTATTGTTTTTCAGGAAAAAAACTGAAAATTTTAACTTTTGAATGCACGTTCACTATTAGTAGGCATTTCAATTTCAATTTATTATCTAGTGTAACATATTTACAATAATATATATAGGAAATCTTAATATTTGAACCGCGTCAAACATAACGAAAGGTGATTGCGACCAGCTTACATCCAGATGAGCCTGTATTTATTCAATCTGGTCGCTCATTGAAAGAAGAAAAACATAACAGAGAATAATGAATGAGTGTAGGTTCTATATTGAATTTATGAATGAGTTAAAAATAGTGTTATGCGAAAAAGTACAATAAATTTAGTAAATAAAAAATTGCCTATTTATTTGACGGGCGGTTAATACTGAAACGCTACCGTTTAGCGTGACGTTGCGCCACTTTGACGCCAGATATTTGCACGACCTAGCCATACAGTTTTTTTAACCAGGTTTTCCACGAAAACCGGGTTATTGTAATGCCGAAGTCGGCGGGCAGGCGGGCGGGCGGGTGTCAACTTTTGGTCTCCGCTCAATACCTTTAGTTTGCTTTGGCCTACTGACACTTAACGTGGTGTGTAGGTAGCTAATATCAAAAGGAAGCTTGGGATTTCTACCCAGGTGTCAGTGGTCAAGGTCAAGGTCACTGATACTAAAAAAAAGAAATTCAGTTTCTGCTCAATAACTTGAGTTTGCTTTGGCCTATTGACACCAAACTTGGTGTATGGGTAGGTTATATCAAGAGTCGGCTTGGGATTGCTACCCAGGTGTCAGTGGTCAAGGTCAAGGTCACTGATACTAAAAATAGAAATTCAGTTTCTGCTCAATAACTTGAGTTTGCTTTGGCCTATTGACACCACACTTGGTGTATGGGTAGGTTATATCAAGAGGCAGCTTTGAAATGCTACCCAAGTTTCTGTGATTAAGGTTATTGTATTCAGTTTTCACGAAATAACTTGAGTTTGATTTGACCTTTTGACACCAAACTTGCTTTGTGGCAGCTTTGGATTCCCACTTAGATATCTGGGAGGTCAAAGTCATTTGCTTACAATAGAATTTTCAGCTTCTACTCAATAACTTCAGTGCATTTTGACCTTTTAATTGCTGTCAAATCAAAACTTGGTCGTTGAAAACCTTGTTTTCGTCGCATTGCGGCGCTTCTTGTTTTATTTTATTTTACATGAAAGGAATCAAAACAATAACATGCAATTCATGAATTTGTCTATCATATTCTGGCGTTTTTTCAATAAACGCCATCACAAAAACAGTAGGTTTCATTAATAAAAGAGTGACATTGAAATTTGCTTATTAAATTCTAGTGGTAAACATTTTACCGACTATGAAATATAAAGTTTCAAATCGGATTTGGATTTCGATGTTTTATCTATACCGGAAAACCCGTCTGAAACCTTTAAATGCGTTCATATGACGTCATTATCTTTATGAAAGAATGGTTGTAAAAATTACTACGCTACTATGAAAACAGTATTTACGAAGCATATGTAAGTGTTCATCCGTGCTGTTCTACAGAAATTAGAAACTTCGACGGGAGCGATAGCGACAAATTAATTGAGACTTTTCTTATATTAGTTATAAAAATATATTAATTGACATTTTGTATTGATTGTTACTTTTACACGTGCAGTATCTTTTTTCGCCAAGACGTGGATTAAGATCTGAACTACATGTATATCCTTTATCCATAAACACAAAATTAATGTAAGTTGGCCTTTTGACGTCATTTTAACTTAATTAATATTCAAAAGCATGTGCAAATTTATGCAAATGACTATTTTTACAAACGAAAACTAGAAGACGACTATGAACGGAATTTGATATAGTATGACTTTTGTTCATCTATGAAAATTAACACACATAATTTTGAAGAAATACAGCGTTTCCATGGGATAAAAAATAAAGCTGGACACTAAAATAATGTTCAAACCACAAAAAGTGGGATAGCTGCTCTATATTCGAGTATGATATGCTAGAAAATATATCACTCGTGGTTACGTATCGGATTTAAATATCCATCCCTCGGGCACCTGTACAAGGGCTCTCGTTACAGCCCAATGCGCAAGCGCTCTCGGATCGGATCCGATACGAAAACACATGACAGATATTATTATGCAAACACTAAATGATATTCAGTTTCTTTATTTGGTTCTACACATCCTCTTGTCTGGAAAGACCTGAGCGATAAACATAACTTTTCTATTCATAAACTGATATATAGAAAATCCATCGAGCAGAAAAATGCGCCGTACGTTTTTACTGATATTTCGTACGCCATACGTTTCCGGAAAATGTCCCGATATTGATATTTACGGATTTAACTCAATACAGGATTGGAGCAGTACTTCTAGTCGCTTGCAGAAATCATGGTCACAAAAAAGACAAATATCGTTTTTCTCGCCGATTTTTACATTTTTCATTCATTATCATACCTAAATCGGTGTGAAAAGATGAATTAGACCTATTAAAGTTCATTCCGTTGGGTAAAAAGGCAATATTTTAGCATTTTATCATTCAAGCGGTATATACCGGAATACGGTATTTAGTGTGGTGCTCCAATCCTTTTTTAGTCCCACTCAATATTTAAAGGCGGTAATTTTAGCCAGAATGGACAGGCATGAATGCTTAGATCACGACATATTACAACTTTTTAAAGTCAGAGGTTTCAGTTAATATACATATATGTAAACGAAACAGTGAATTTTAGAGAAGAAGCCATACGTTATCACGATCAAACCGGTGGAAAATTCTCTCGCTTCGAACCTGGTCACGCACATTTCACACGAAGTACGGGACATAACATCACGAAATAAAATCTTGTGGGCCCGGAAAATTGTGGAGAATGTTATTATATGTACTTTTACGCTAAAACATCAAGAATTTCAGAGAAAAAAAGGGAAAACTTACTTTTTGGCTGCATTCGCCATCTTGTTTGTTTTGGTAACGGACGGCGTGATTTTCCCCTGTGTTATCTATAAACACGATATAGCTAAGCAAGAAATAACCGTCTTAATCTTGTTTTTAGTCGATCGTTTAGGAAAGAGAAACTTATTGAGAAACAAGATTACGACAGAATAACTGCAAATCGAGCAGACAGGTCAGAGTTTATACGGATCTTGGAAAAGTCAGAGGCTGCATTCAGTATTGTCTGTCAGGTAAAATTATATGTTTATCAATATATTTTGTAACCTGTAATACCTTTCTCTAAGCACATAGTTCCTTGCTATCACCATTCGTCCAGCGTACGCCATTAAGGTGTCAAACAATGTCTTATCATACTCTACCGGGACTAAATGTATGTTTCTAATAAAATTCTTTATCGATAGGACAGCGTGCATGACTATTCACAGTGCATGGTAGTAAAATAAGATCCTGGGTCATTTAAGAATTAACAAAGAGGAAGATTTACATAAATACAAAAGCAAAAGAGAAAAAAGTAAGATGTTGCACAAACTTTTGAGTTAAGAATTTTCAAAGGTTAATAAGGCCATAATTAACTTAAAAACCAGGAGGATTTGGCTATTTTTGGCTTTGGACACGTATGGATAGTGACATTCAATTATAAACCCACAAACATGTATTAAGTTAATACCTGTTGTTGTTTAGAAGAATAATTTTACACTCAACACTTCAACCAAGAATTTTCAAAATTCAAAAAGATTCATAATTCTGTCAAAATTCATGCAAAATTCATGCTTCAATACTGACCTCTGAGTATGATCCAGAAGTGATTGATGCTGCATGCTAAATGTTTACCAAGAATCTTCTAAGTACCATAAGATTATTTTTTTCTGTCAAAATCCATACAACAATTAAGGACCTTGGAAAAAGACCTCCAATTATGATCCCCCAGATGTGTACATTTTTGTATTAAGTTTTATGTTAAAGTACCACTATTACATTTGAAAATTGATTTGCATGCAAAAGTTCAAAAGTACCATAATTTAGCCAAAATCCATGCCAGGACAGTGACTCCTGTTATTTTTGCAAGGACTATAAACCCTATTGGAAATTCTGAATTAAAAATAATGTTTGGTTTACTTCAGCCTTTCTTCTAAAAAACTATATTGGAAGCCTGTAAACATTTAGTAACATGTTCGCTTCGGATGTGAAAGATCCAAAGTATGATCACGCAGGGAAAGATTGTTGCAATTCTGATGCTCCAACCCTTGGCCACAAGAGAAGATGGGGAAATATAAAAACAAAAGCGTAGAGAATTGCTACAAAAAATTTTATATACCAAAGTAATTCCTTTAAATATGCCAAGGCGATTGAACCTTAGGCAAAAAATGCAAAAAGCGGTTGTGGCACAAAGACTAATCGAATAGTGGGATTTTCTGATATTTGTGAATTAAGTGCTTTATACTATCTAGAAAGGTATGAACTACATGAAAAGCTTATTTCTATTGGTAACAATAAGGAACATATATCTTTACATCAGTATATGAAGTAACAAGCAAATATCTTTAGTGGTTGATAAAATAAAACGTTGAAAGCAAAAAAAGCGTTACGCCGACGCTCGCTCCGGTGTGAAGAATAGCCCGTTTTTATTTTGAATAGTCGAGCTAAAAAGAATAACTAATAGGAAATACAAAACAAACTAATAAGAAGTTTATTACACCCACGAAAAACTTGCTTTTCAGTCCTACTTAGGAGACATAGATACAGCTTAATTAGGAGTTTACACGCGTAAAATGGTGGCGATCGAAGGAATGGTCAGCTGTGCACTGAACACTTTTAGAATAACCAAAAAATTTCTGTTATGTTTTTTTCCAATGCAACACAAATGCAAAGCGTTTTGTCTCATGTGAAACAGTTCCCCTTTAGTTAACCTTTGCTCTTTATAAATAAAACGTGTTTACGCATGATTTTATTTTAGCCCGATTCCACGATATTTAATCTCGGTAAACTACAGCCAGTTGCACAGTACGGACATAAGAAATATTGTCTTTCCATTTGATGAAAATGTTAATAAAAATGTTTTGCAACAAACCAAGAAATTTTCAATTGGTCCTGAAGTGTAAAGCTGATGAATGTGAATGTTTGTATATACTTTTGTTTTTATTGACGACTCGCAAAGTTAATCGTAAAACCAATAAACCAGCATTGTGTCAAGGTTCTGCGCATATAAACAATACTGATAACAAATTTTCCATTAACATACGAAGTTCGGAAATAAGAAAAAAATTGTCATGCAAGACCTTAACATACAATTGCATAAAACAGATTTAAAAAATAAGAATGAACCAATACTCATAAATCTGTTTTAATTTTGATAATAACAATTGTCAGTTAGATTTGTTTAAAGTTTTCAAAACAAAAATCAATATTTTTTAACTTGACAATATTTCATTACAGATTTTACTACAACGCCGTGAAAAGGAATTTCTTGAGCTTGAGCCTTACATTTGCAAATGGAATGTATTCGGTGAGTTTGCATCCTGTTTATCAAGGCTTAAGAATTCACAAAAATGATAAAGCGTGAATACAGATTGAAAGTTTCATGATTACCGCCGTATGTACATATCTCAGGTGTTGTAAAACTGTATCGAAATTTCACCATTTTCATGTTACACAGTTGTTGATTTCAAGTGCAAGACACATTAATAACAGCTTGCATTTACAACTCACATCAATGAACAATCTCGGTCAGACCAGGCCTGCCGTTTTGGCGTTTTTAGAGGTTCCATTTTATTTTGTATTTCATGACATTTGACCCCTCAAAAGTTCCATTCAGTTGAATTCCGCCATGTTTGCTCTTTCATTTGAGAATTATTCGGCACTTATCATGGAATTGCGGGAACGTGAAAAACATGAAATTAAAGATATCAATGTAATATATACTAGGTACATTCAGCGAGTGGATTAAATAAGTTCTTTATGAAGTAATAAAACATGAAAGAAACAAGAATTACAAGTACTATATAGCGTTTTTATGCAAAGCTTTTTTTGTTTCCTTACCTAAAGCAAAAGAGATATATTCTATTTAGCACAACTATGATCAACAGTTATAACTGTTATAGCTTCCGTCTATTGGACATTCTTAATCGCATATGTGCGAAAGCAGCACCAAATTTATGATAACAATTACAGAGCAGACAAAGCAAATGCCGGACAATTATTATGAAAAATTGACAACAGAAGCACAACTCTTATATGTAAATTTCTTAAATTGTATATAATGTTTGTTGGCTACTTAAGATATTATGGATGAAAATATATTTCTTAATATAACAACAAATGTTTTATTACAGTTCGATCATGTGACTTCCTTGCAAAGTTTGATGCTTTGAGAGCGCTGGATAATGCAATACGTAATAGAAGTATTTGCGTGTCGGCTTTTGTGGATTCTTGCAAAGCCGGGGGCCAAGAGTTAGATGAAAGAAGGAAGAATGTAAACACAAAAGTCATAGCAAGCTCGGCAGTCGGCATTGGATCTGGGGGTTTGATCATTTTAGGAATTTTACTTACTCCTATTAGTTTTGGTGCATCGTTAGGTTTAAGTGTCGCTGGAGCGGCTCTTGGTGTTATTACTGGGGGTACAGCAGCAGGTGTAAGGACACATGAAGCTGTGAAACAGAACTCTAGAATTACTGATATCAAGGCGGAACAAGAAGAATTTCAGTCAAAGGAACAGAGAGTAGCTTCAATGCTTAAAAAGGTTGATGAATATTTTACAACAGAAATTGCAAATTCTAGCACCGCGGACGCTGAATGTCCCGGAATAAGCAGACGCGGTTTTCTTGCTATTGGATCAGCTTTACGAGCTGGTAAGGGTGCAGCCGGAATAATTATTGCAGCAGTTCGGGTAGGGACAACAGCCGCAAGTATAGCAGCACACGTTCTTGGACCTGTTTCCATAGTGGCCGATGCTGTATTTCTAGCAGAAGCAGCGCATAATAAACACAAAGGGGATAAAACAAACGCAGGTGAAATGTTGCAGGAGATGGCTGAAACAGTTGAAGTAAAGTGTAGAATAAAGTGTAAAATATTTAACGACATGCTGCGTGGGAATTGCAAGGAAAATGAAAGATTACTTCGTTGGGACTAGGAAGATAAGTCATATATCGCAGAAAAGAAAGCTGAACGTTCTGAATATCATTACGCAAAGTGTATTTCTGACATTCCTATAAAGTTTCATGACTCTAGGTCAAATACTTTTTGAGCTACATGCGACAGAATTCGAAAAATGGAATTTTTTTCTTAGTCAAGGGCAATAACTCTGACAAAGCAGAGTTACTCCACAAACAAAACAACAGGTGCAAACCGTCACATGTTTTTCAACATTCCTGTAACATGTCATAACTATGAGTCCTTTCCGTGACACAAGTTGAAAATTGTAAACAAAAAACTAAGTCGAGGATAATAACTCTACAAATTCTGATTAAATTCACACACCAACACGCAGGTGCACAGCTAAACATGCTGACCAACATTCCTGTAATGTGTCATGACTCTAGGTCAAATACTTTTTGAGCTTTGTGCGACACAACATGGAAACGGACGGACGGAAGTACGGACGAACAAGGGTTAATCTTAATCTCCAATTTTTAGAGTAAAATTTTAAAAGTATTGTACTGGTACTGATTACATCTTTGATATTACCGACCCATTATTTTATATATTTTTATTAACGAAAAGTGCATCAAATTAACAAGCGAAGCAGGTGCGTACTCAATGAAATGACTCCTTAATACATCTTTTTGTTAAGATTAAATACATCTAATCGTTGTGATAAACGTGTGTGCTTGAAAAAAAAAACGATTCTGATGACACTCACTCATTGATCTTTTTTCTACCGTCAATCTGAAATAATTCTAGGAATTTCTGAGGTTTATGTTTTGTCTTGGGTAGAGTAATTTAATGTTGTTGTTTTTTCTTGAGTTAGTATATCTCCGATGTTAAGCCTAAATCATTTAAAATTCGAAATTTCGTTCGGTTCTAAGCATTTGTATTTCCCAAGTTGTTGGCCCCGGAAAAATAAAACGCATACGTAAAACATGTAGAATTGGATAAATACCGTCCAAGCACAAGGATTTAATGTATGAGTTTTGTATTAAATCTGTTTAAAAATTTATGCTATAATAGCGTCAAATCACGTTTATTTAAGAAATTACATCGGCCTGACAGGTGTATATCGGCTATTTAACACCGGTTTGGAGTTTTGATGCGTAGGAATTGACCACGAAGGCCATAGGCCTTTTATCAAGTTTTCAACAATAAAAACTTACGTCGTATGGTGTTTACATCAGTGCCGCATTTATCATTCGTGTATGTATGAAATAACGTCAGCTTGTTTATGAATGAGTTGTTTATTTAGGATGACGTCATTACGCTGCTTACGGATTGGCGCCGTTTTGTCAAAATATTTATTAACTGATATGGATCTAATATGTGGCGTTAGTGTATGTGAGATATTATTTCGGTATTGTAAGAAAAGAAAACATTATACGAACTGAAAAAAAATGCTTTTTATTGTTGCTTTAAAATGTTTTGTAAACTATACAATCGAGGGTGAAAATATAACAGCGAATATACAAGTAGTCCCTAACTGGTGTTTATTGGCAATTTAACACCAGTTTTTTTTCCTTCTTTGTCTATAGTGACAAAATCACGTGAGTGTTAGTATTCGTGATATAACGCCTGCATAGTCCCTCGGAACTGTTGGAGCCCTCGCCCTACCGGGCTCGGGCACCAACCGTTCCTCGGGACAATGCAGACGTTATAACACGGAAAAACGTGCGTTAACCGTAAACGTATTTCCATGTACACAAAATGATTTAAGTTTTTAATCAGTTCATGTTTCTGTTTTTTTATATGTTTTAATGATTTTATATATATATTCAATCATACCTTTCCTTACATTCTTCCTTTCTTTTAGCATTTCACCATAATTTACCTTAGTTTTTCTATAGTGATAATTCAACAATCTATTATTCTCTTATTCTTTGTTGTACATTTTAAGAGCTTACATCTAACCGCAACATTTTTGTATCTTTATCTTGAAAATTACTTTTACTGGAGAGGAATTGATATAAGTATTTATTTACTTGTTTAACAATCCAGTCTGAATTACATTGTTGTGCAATGTTTGTAAATGTAATTTATGTACAATTTATTGAATAAATAAAGTTTAAACTATATATATATAAAATAAATATATATTATATAATTTTATATATATATATATATATATATATATATAAAAAAAGTATGTTTTGGGAAATGCAGAGTACAAAATTCTTTAATTTTTTATACATTTATTTCTGTTAGCGCTTTCAAATGTTTCTACATATCTTCAGACAGTAACGTATAATATAAACATAACAAATATAACAATGACGTAACGTTATAAAAGTGCGGGAAACGTAAAAATACGACGTTGCGTAAAGGACTTAAATTTACTCCCACCCCTAATGAAAACAAAATAGAACTAAATACAGACATCAAAGAATTTTGTAGAAAATTGAGATTAAGTGAACGTTTTCATGATGACAATCAAGAAAATAACGATGAATTACCTCTAGTTAGAAATAAGACTGGATGGAACCCTCCCAAAAGTAATGACACAGCATTGGAAGACGCTATTCAATTTTTAAAAGAATATCCATTAGAAAATAACTGCCCCGTGAAACATAATTTATCCCGTAATGACCGCGAAGCACTTAAAACTTTAAAAGATAAAAATACATTGATAATTAAAGAGGCTGATAAAGGAGGTGCTGTTGTTTGCATGAATAATACTTTTTACAAAGAGAAGATTTTATCTATATTAAATGATCCTATTTATTACGAAGAAACAGATGAAGGAGCAGATTTAAGAACTAAACATGTTTTGCATGACATTATTAGAAAATACGGTGATGGCCTTATGAAAGAAGAGTCTGACTATCTAACAAATTTTGAACACACAACAAGTTATTTCTATGGTTTACCAAAAATTCACAAAAGTAAAACAATTGCTGATTCATTGAACGAACAACAGTCAGAATATCTGAAAGTTTGTGATCCTAACGATTTACCTTTTAGACCTATATGTGGAGGACCTAATAGCATAACACAAAGACTCAGCCGACTATTAGATATAATTCTTAAACCTCTATGTAAATGTGTCCCTAGTTTTATTAGAGATGATTTAGACTTTCTGAAATATTTACCAGAACACATAGAAGATCATGAATCTAAACTAGTCACTTTCGATGTAATAAACTTGTATTCCAATATTCCCCACGATCTTGGATTGAAAGCTGTGATATTCTGGATGGAAAAAATGCCAGAAAAGATAGACAAACGATTTCAACATAATTTCATAATAAAATCGCTAAAACTTATTTTATACAACAACGTATTCTACTTCGACGGAAAATACTATATTCAGAAAAAAGGCGCAGCTATGGGTACCATTATCGCTCCAACTTACGCTACCTTAGTCCTCGGATACTTAGAAGAAACTCTTTATGAAAGGATGAAAACTAAATACAACAATGAATTTTCAATCTATTTAAGACTTAACTGGAAGAGATTTCTTGACGATTGCTTTTTAATTCTACCAAAAGAAATTGACACGTCTGATTTTTTAAACGAACTTAATAACTTGCATCAAAGTATACAATTCACATATAATGAAAGTGAAAGTGCGATGGCTTTTTTGGATATTCTTGTTTTGAAGTCAGGAAATAACATTTGTACAGATTTATACTGTAAACCTACAGATACACACAACTATTTAGATTTTAGATCATGTCATCCTAAGCATACTAAAGTTAACATACCATTCAATTTAGCTTCAAGAATTATTACTATCGTGAAAAATAAAGACTTACAAGAAAAGCGTCTAACAGAATTGAAATTACAGTTAAAACAACAGAATTATCCAGATGTACTGATACAACATGGAATAGAGCAGGCTATATCTAAGGGACCCATCAAGACCACTGATCGTAAAGACACTCGTACTTCCGCCCATGATGTTATCCCTTTCGTTTCAACACACAATCCCAGAAATACAAACATGTTCCCAGTTATAAATTCTTGTAAAATAATTCTACAAAAGAGTGAAAGAATGAAGAATATATTACAAAAGAAAAGAATTATAAACAGTAAAAGACAGCCGAAAAACTTAAAACAAATTTTATCACCCTCCAGATTTGATATGAAAGTGGACATTCCGTCTGTAACAAAATGTAACAGAACCAGGTGTAAGACATGTCCTTCAATTATCGAAGGTAACACAATTCAGTTTACAAATGGCAAAAATTTCACAGTAAAACAAAGTATGACCTGTATAACTAAAAATGTAATATATAGTATTATTTGTCCAAATTGTCAACAATTTTATATTGGGCAAACTAGAAATGGATTAAACTTACGAATGAATTTACATAGACAACAAACTAATACAGAGTCACTTCGTTTTCTTAAGGTGAATAAACATCTACATGAGTGTTCAGGGGGAAAGTTTAATATATTTCCCCTATATAAAGTACTGAAGATTGATGATCATTTCAGAGATGAAAAAGAATTATTTCTTATAAGCATATTGAAGCCACAATTAAACAGCTCATATTAACCTTTTACAATAAACTTGGGTATTTATATATAACAATTATTTTACATTTCCACATGGTTTTAAGTTACTTTCTGTCTGATATTTTTTTACTCGTTTAGCTAATTCATATAAAAAAGTACTTATTAGTAATACAAATTTTGCATTTACTTCTATGATAAGTCAATGCTTTTCATTTTAAAGCATATTTATTACCTCCCTTTATTTAGTCTATATAACGGTTCATGCAAGATCTTTAAATTTATATAAGTAAATATTTTTCCATTTCCACATGGTTTCAAGTAATACATTTTCTGACATATTTTTACTCGTTTAGCTCACTAATATTAAAAAGTATTTATAGGTAATGCAAACGTTGTATCTACTTCTATAATTAGTCAATGTTTTGAATTTTAATACTTATTTATTACCTCCCTTTATAGAATATTTACCCTATGTATTTTTGTAGCAATTTCATACTTCTTATATAGAAGGTAAAAGAATATCTCATTTCCAGCGCAACGTCGTATTTTTACGTTTCCCGCACTTTTATAACGTTACGTCATTGTTATATTTGTTATGTTTATATTATACGTTACTGTCTGAAGATATGTAGAAACATTTGAAAGCGCTAACAGAAATAAACGTATAAAAAATTAACGAACTTTGTACTCTGCATTTCCCAAAACATACTTTTTATACATGAGATCCACACAAGGAATCGAACTTCTTTTTATATATATATATATATATATATATATATATATAAAGGGACATAATTAAATTCAATACAGTTATACTTTCCCCTGCGTGGGATCACTTAAGATACAAGTGTGCAGATAAATTGATAGAAATGAGAGAATATATACACACATACCACCACATCGATATGCCAGTCCAATTACGGCACAGCGCCTAACAGAACAGTCATGAAAGCATAGCCACTGCTCATCCACCATCACAAAATGATGGTTTCAGAACAGCTTTATATACAGTCACAAACTGCACTACACATTGAAACAAGCTCAACATTCACATATATAGAGTTTGTTCTCTGATATCATATCTCACAAATCAACGATGACATTTTTATTGTCTTCTTCACTGATTGGGACCAGAGAACTATATATCTATTTCCGAAAGTCAACTGGATCACGTAAGATCAAGTAGATCCGTAGGATACAATGAATTTAGACAGATAAAGTATATATAAAGGGAGATAATTAAATTCAATACATTTATACTTTCCCCTGCGTGGGATCACTTAAGATACACGCTTAAGTTTATCAGAGAACAAACTCTATATATGTGAATGTTGAGCTTGTTTCAATGTGTAGTGCAGTTTGTGACTGTATATAAAGCTGTTCTGAAAGCATCATTTTTGTGATGGTGGATGAGCAGTGGCTATGCTTTCATGACTGTTCTGCTAGGCGCTGTGCCGTAATTGGACTGGCATATCGATGTGGTGGTATGTGTGTATATATTCTCTCATTTCTATCAATTTATCTGCACACTTGTATCTTAAGTGATCCCACGCAGGGATTATAAGTAGTTTTCATGACGTCATTTTGGAAATTGGTAGGCATTCGTTGTTTATGGTGTGCATATTTGTAATAATGAACTTGATTGTCCTATCTGCAGCTGTTTGATGAGGGAATAGTGTGAAGTGTGTTAGAATATTATATATATTTTAGTCCTCGTCCTATTTATGTATCAGCGACAGTTACCATGGTCTAATCCGAGCTAGGTACATGCAGATAAAATGTAGGTTTAAATATAGACTTATCTCGCCACGCTACTAGATTATTTAGATTCTCGGTTCAATTTCTTCATGACTTTTATATCCGTTTTGAAAATATTCGAAATCTTCCATTTTGATATCTATGGGCCTTGCGTTTTTAAGAATTCTCCTTCGAAACGCTTTTTAGTGGTTTTCTGATTAAAACATTAAACAAATTGTACTGGATTTTAACAACGTCTACAGAATGTCAACAGAATGCTGTTATATGAACGCCTCAAGACAAATGATAATATCTTAAAGGCTAAAAAAGGCATATTCTGTTCCGTAAATATAGTGGAAAATATATTTCCGATTAATATCTAATACTTTGCTCAAAACGAAAACAAAATGATATATATTATTCAAATCTCTCAAAGAATTAATATAACAGCTTTTTCGTTAAAACTCTAAAAGTTTCAACAAGAAATCCGCTAAAAGACATTTGATAAAACATCATCGAAGGAGAATATATACATGTATCTAACTCAGTTAAGGTCTGTCTAAAATTCAAGAACCGGACAAGGACGAGGAAGATTGCTCATTCAATATGACACTAAACATCGCCAAGGAAGGCTAGCATTCAATCGTGGCCATACACAAATGCAGTACAAACCATACTCTTCTACTGCTTAGGTCCTTTAAAAAAGATACGATATGTAAGATGAATTTTAAAATATTAAGAAGCTTCATTGATGTATTTTATTCACTTATTATTGTTGCAAGGAAAATAAAACATAAAAAAGAACTCAAGAAAACTATAAAAAAATGTTAAGTGAATAAGGTTTAGAAAAAAACACCACATTTTCAGAAGCCCGGAGTTACTTTCTTAAGCACAGGCGTTGATTATTCCACTCAGTAACTCTCAACCTTTCCTAAATAAAATCAAACTGCGGTGTACTTTCATGTATCAGGTGTTTAAATATGATTCTGATAACATTTCTTTAATTTTAAAAAAAATGAAACAATATGAAGATATATTTCGTAAAGGTACGCAACGCGCCGCTCATATTTCAACACTCATCCAAATGTGAACTTCATTATGACTCCATCACATTTTTCACTAAATTTCAAAATTTTGGTACCAAATATTAGACAATTAATTAATCGTTAAGAAAAGGAACTGCCATTTCAATGATTTCTAATGATAAGTAGATATGTTATGATATGATTATTAACTTAGATAGCAATTCTGAGCAATAACCTGCTATTAGTTTAGTTTCTTAGCGTAGGTAAGACCGAAATACCGTATCCATTCTGTGTATTCTGACTATTGATATCAAGGTTATTATCAAAGGACTGGCGGATAAGGACAAAAAGTGATTGCATATAGCGGGGACTATATAGTATTAGCCTAAACCTGAATTAAATGCTATGTGTACGAGTTTTATGGAATTCTGTTTTTAATATAACATGCTATAAAATGAATATACTTTGATTTGCAGGTGCAAGAGTGACAAAATAATTAGTTGAAGCGTAGAATTTGGCTAATTTTAACAAAAATTGTATGACAAATTTAACATACTTGAATGCTCATCATGTCTCAGAAGTACTTGCTACCTTTTGTAGTTCAAAATGTTTTTAATGCTTAATAAATTGTTACAGTATTCAAACAAACTAATACTCATTTGACATATACATGGACTATCTTTTGCAACTATATGCCTGTTGGCAATCGGTATCATTATGATAGTAAATTATTACTTTGTATGTAAGTCAAAATACTCCTTTTTTACAGCATGCTACCTTATCGACACAATACTGCATGTTTAGCGCCACTCCTTCAATTGTTTAACATCTGACATACTCTGAATTCATTGGTCTGTAAAGAACGAAAACATAATTTCTAAATTTTTGGTTTATCTACTTGTTCATCAGCTTGTTACATGACGGTATAAATGTATATGTATTTGTATCATGTGATTTATACCCCGGCCAGATTAGATATATTTTAACATACTTTAGAATCATTTTTTAAAAATCATAGGATCACGTGTGAATTTGATTACAGTAACTGTAATAAATTTAAAATGAATAAAGGAATAAACAGGACAGGCTTCTTGATTATTATTTAACGATGCGGTAACTTTGCTGAAGATACTGCAGTTGGATTATCTAAATCCTGGATTTTTCTTTTCATTAAATTGTGATGGTGTCTAAGTCCTACTGTAGTTGACAAATGAGTAATTAAGGCATTTAAATCTTACTAATGATCTATAAAGCATATTTATTTAAAGTACCATTTCATATACAAAAATTACACATGTAGGAAAACTTATCAGTTTGTTACATGATGATGTACTTGAATTTGAGTATAATTGATACATGTTTAACTAGATATTTAGGGACACCACTGAGGTTTAAAAGCCTAAAAACATAACATTTTAATTTCATACATAAATGAGCTGCGGCACTTTAAACAGAAATATATACAAAGATAGTTAAGAAATATACTTTGAAATAAATTGAAAGACGTCTTTTAATGCTTTTCTTAGCCCTATATGAATGAAAAACGTTTAAACGCTTTTCATTTTGGGTCATTTTTTACTATTTGAATAATTATTCTGGAAAAAACGAAGTGCGCCAATGATCTGAAATTTTTGCACAAAGATTAGTGGTCTAAATCTACATCAAATGGTACATTTATCTGGAAAAATATTCTCAGTTCCATCATGTCAAAACAACTTCAGTAGAGTCCTTTAAATTACGTTTCGAATACATGTAGCATTGAAATATTTAAAGATAACGTGTGCGTGTCATTAATGTCTAGGCTTTAAGATAAACTTGGGATTCGTCAAAACAAATCTCTGTGGATATTGTTCGGGCAATATTGACCTGAGACATCTGAAAATTCAATGAGCTTTTGTTGGTTCCGAAGAATCACCGTAACGTATGAGTTATTTTTAATTCTATTTTGCAAAACTCGGCAATCATTTTTAATATATGCTAGTGACTCATTACAAGTACAATGTACGAGTTCACCATTGAAATTCATGAAAAAAAATGCAATTATCAAAATGATAAAAATGAATAAAAATGATAGAAAAGAAACACACTTTAAGAACTCGTGTTTTGCATAATTAACGGAAAAAAAGTTTATAAAAACTCAAAAAGGTTGGTTTAAGATTTAAACTTGAAAGTACGTGTTCACAATTTCGTCATTCAATCAGGCAATCGAGCAGTTTTTTTATTTCTTAAAGTATCGTTATCTATAGTATCATAACATTCTTAAGCATATTTCATAGCAAAGGAAAGACTCCCGTCAATATTGCCGTGCTACGGTGTCCTTATCGTGCCATTTATTAAGGGGTTTAAGGGTTGCTTCGTATTGTCGAGCGTCACTTTGCGTTGTCATTTGTCACTTCGCGTTGTCGCATTGTCACTTCGAGTTGTTGCATTGTCGCTACACGTTGTCGAGTGTCAGGGTGAGCAAAAATATAGACAATGACACGCGACAATGCAATACGACGCTTGACAATGCGATACGACACACGAGAGCACGAAGTGATATTTAATCGAGTTTTACTTCGCATTGTCGAGTGTCGCTGCGTATTGTCGTGTGTCGCTTCGCATTGTCGGGTGTCGCAGTGTAAAAGTCAGAAAATGATCGCGACATTTTTTTAATATCGCTTCGTGTTGTCGTGTGTCAAATCGCATTGTCGCGTGTCATTGTCCGTATTTGTACTAAATGTACTCACTCCGACAATCGACAACGCGAAGCGACAATGCGGCAACGCGAAGTGACAATGCGACAAAGCAAAGTGACAATGCGACAACGCGAAGTGACACTGGACAATACAAGGCGACACTCGACAACGCGATGCAACACTTTTTAAATGTCACCCTTTTTTAACATATTTATTACTAAATGGCATCGCGATATTTCGTTTGACAATGTCGAGCGTGGCTTTGCGTTGTTGAGCGTCGCTTCGCGTTGTTGAGCGTCGCTTCGCGTTGTCGAACATCGTATCGAATTGTCGCTATGTCAATTTGCATTGTCGTGCGTCGACCCTTTAAACGCGACGGACGACATAATAAATGACACGATAAGGACACCGTAGTACAGGAGTCTTTCCTTTGTTAAGGACACTGTACCAAACAATTAGTAAATATTCAGCTTATTTCACGTAAGGTAAATGTTTCATTTTGTTTATTATCTACATTCGTCTAGGGGCTAATTTATATGTTGATTAATGATTATGAAATATATATTTAGAACTTTTATGAGTATACTTATACTTGTATTTTTTTCTTATTGATATACCAAGAAATGTTCCCGAAATTAGATACATACATAAACTGCATTTTAAAACTTTAGAAAGGTATCTTGCTGTCGGCCTAAATACCATACATTTTATTGTTTTATTAACTTTTTTAACTGTATCGTTATAATTCTTATCACATTTTTTCAGACTTATTATCTTAAAAGAAAAATCCATCGGTTAAAGTTCGTATAATTTAAACTATAATCTGCATTTAGACTCTAGTTATTTTTTTTAATCAAATATTTGTTATCCAGAACAGTGCAATGTGGGATTTTCCCATCTAATCCGAGTGTGTAAACAAACCTTTAACTTTTATAGTTTAACTAGGCCTGTCGTATACAAAACAGTAATCAATTAATAAAAGAAGATGAATGTTTGCATGTAAATATCTGTTATTTAACACGAAAAGATGACTGCTAACTTAAGTCATATTTCTGTTTTGGATGACACAAGGGTGCAGTTTTTCATAAAAACAGATATTGTACTTTTGATTTCCCCACAAGGATGATGAAAACATTTACTCTTATTAAACTAGGAATTAAGAACGGAGTCGATGTGACAGTCATTTTATTAACAATTTGTAGCTTTGTCTGTGTTATTTAATTTGTAAAAATAGAGCTTTAAGAGTGTTAAAAATATTACAATGACATATATGCCTCTTTCCTGAATCTTTAATGTGTAGTAATTTAAACGTCACAGAGAAAAATGTGTTCATAAATGAGGATAAATAACACAAACTATTACTCACCATTTCAGAAAAGTAGGTTTACGATGATCAAGAAATTATAATAATTTCTTTGATTATATTATAGAAATTATCGATCAGAACAATTATCTTTATTTTAACTAGTAATATTCAATCATTTGCAAGTTATATTATAAATCATGAAACAAGGAACACATCAAATATACATTAGGATTTTTAACAAATTCACTGTGAGCAACACATTTTGCCTACACTAGGTATAGTGGGCGGAACTATATAAAATGGAATTTGAAACAGGATGTGAGGTTATGAAGCCTGCATATCACAGATAAGACGTCAAAAGACAAATTGAAAAAGCAGGCAGCATAACCTTCGGATGATTATACAGTATTCAGGTAGAAATACTTGGACCGTCCAAGTTGAAAAAAGGCCAAATAGAGGAAACTAAAAGTAACACATAACATGTATACACAACAGTAATGTTGTGCTGAACGATCTTCAAATTTACATTCGGCACTATTAACTTAAAGTGTTTAGCATTTATTTGTATTTTATCAAACATTTTGCCTTTTCTGCAGACAGAAAAAGGAGTATTTCTTTCTTAAAAAGAGTATTTCTTTCTAAGTCTGAATATGCCTTTACGAGTAATTCAAACCAAATAGCTATCATGAACCGATATCGCTCGAACAAGATAAATATATCAGGATATTCTTTTATTCAAAATACCTGAACGATTTGAAGATTTTTGTTAAACATTTCCTAATGATAATTGCTGTTTTTTCTAACTCTATCATGATGCTGAGAGAGTGTTTTCTCTATTGTTTTAGCTAACTTGAATCATTCTAGCAATTTTATACAAAGACCACTTAAGAATCATTTTTGTAGAGTTGTTCAAAAGATCTGGACTATAAAAGAATACCTAACGATACATAATGTACAGTTTTAAAAATAATCTATCGAGTTGATGTGGAAAAGACGTTGTTTAAAGGGTTTTTGTATCCCTTGCAGCAATCTTGTTCAACGTACCCGAATACGTTTTCAAATGAGGAGGTATATATGTTTATTTTCACGTGAGTGTTATTTGTGCTGTATGGACGTCGTACAAAGTCGCCCGTGTATTTTATTTAAAATGTTATATTTTCGATGATTGTGGTAGTTTGGATGTGTTCGTAGCGTTTAAGGCATATTTATTTTTATCTTTTTTTCTGTTTTAGTGTTTCCAATATTCCTGAATACTGTTGATTATCCTTTCTTCGTTTAGGACAATCGCATTCTTTTACGCGGAGACCATACCCCGCTTTTCATCGAATGTTTCATATACTCACAATGAAGCTTTCAAGGTACCGGTAAATGCCGTATGAACACGTCAACGAATGTTCCTTAACCAGTGCTAAGGGCCGTTCCGGTTTAGGACATTCTTTATGTTATATTTTTTACTCTTTATTTAGTGAGCGAAATTGTTTTCACCTTTTAGACCACGGTGATTTTCGCATGTAAATTTAGAAGGCTTTGAAAAAAAGGTCTAAGTAGTTAATAATAATGAGCGTAAGCGGTTTTTACTGTCAATGTCGCTGCGAACTTGACCTTGAAATAGCTAATCCAAAACCCAACTGGATTTTCATTTAATGACTATCATGCTAATGAGGTTTAGTTGCTGTGGATCGAATCCAACGATCGACTATATTTTCAAAACAATATATTCCCTTTTCTCCAGATAACCATTTTCTCCAGATATTTCAACAATTGAAACGTGCATTATTTTCTTATAAATTTGCAATTGAAATATATCATTAAAAACAGAATGATTCTATCTGGACTATACAATGACAAAATGAACAATTATTTATGTGACAAACCAAAACCTTTTATTTCTTGCGTCTTGTTTGTTATTTTTTGTTGTTGTTGTTGATATGTTTTGTTTGTTTTGATGATTGTTTCCCGACTTTTTTTCATTATTCTTCTGATACCATTATATGATCTTCTTGGTTTCCATGATAAGCAGTTTGAAATACGATAAGATGTTACTTTCTTTTCGTAAATGTAAAGTTTCAGTGCGTCAGCACTAAGTCTTATCTGAAATACTTGATAACTTTAATGTTAAGGTCAACATTTAACTCTTGATTTAGTTTAGAGTAGGGTTTTATAAAAGGTTAAATGCGTGCAAAATTGTTTTCTCACATGAAAAGTTTGGCTTTAACAGATGGATGCAACGCGTGCTTTCGAAGAGGTTTCCAAAGTAGAGATTGAAAAGGTACGATTATTTCTTAGACAAGAGGCAGAGAACAGAGTTGTTGAAGAGGATGGATTCACGCTGTTCGACTGTCTTGCATTAAATATTAAGACCCTGTTGTTACGTTTACCAGATCGAAATAACACGGGAAATGCTCACGTAACTACTATTGAAGATTATACAAGCTCAGGTTTCATTAAGCGAAGTGTTGTTGATCTTCTGTCGAAACACAAGAAGCAATCGGTATTGACAATACTTGTTGACAATTTTCCACCAGAGGTTTTACCAAATAGCCAGTCTGAAAGTAAAGAAATTGAGGCTCATTTAGAAAGATTTTACCAAAGAGTTATGGAAGATTGTCAAAAGGATGACAAATACGTACCTTATGCGAGGTTATGTATCTATGCAGCAGCAACTTGTTTAAATACTCCTATATACATCCTTTGTGTAAGGGAGGCAAGGGAAATGGAATGGACTTACTTTAAACCATTATTCACATTCCCAGGTCAACCAGCTTCTGTTTTCAGATACGTGACTATGTTCTTATCTTCTGATAATGCTTTTCATGGAGTAGAATCGCACGACCAATCTGCACGGGCACCAGTTGCAAGAGGTCTAGTCGGGATGTATATGTCGAAATTAAAAGGTACAAAATAATATACATATATATTTGCAGTTACATGTATATAGTTTTCTGTTACATTGCCAAATAAGAATTTATCTAAGCAAGATTAAGAGACGCTTTCCTGAAACGACACTCAATTGAAGCATATACAGCTACACAATTTTTAATCAGGTGTTTGCGTAGTCTTTATTTTTGTTTAATTATTCTGATATTTAAGGCTAATTTGTTCAAAAAAGTTTAGTGTTGGAGATTTGACACACATTAAGCTGATGCAAAGTGACATCAAAGTTGAACGACCTTAAATAACTTTACATAGATAGACCCGATCAAACAAAGTCTACATGTTTCGCCTCTATATTTTATTTATTATCACTCCGTAAATAGTTTGTTTTACAAGTATACCCTTAATAAGTAATTCATTTTGTTGCTTTGATGTAATTGTAAATGTTTGTATTCTAATATCTCATCCCTTTACCCGTTTAACTCGAGTATCAGCTTTTATTTAATCAATTGTCATTTTTAATGTAGAGTAAAATAGTGTTTGATACGACACGCTTTGCGTTGACCTTATGCCTTCTTTTTTCGATCGGTGCCTTGCTGGATTCCTTGATGGTTATCGTGTGTTGTTTTACTTTGTTTTGTTTAAGCTACTCTAGTACTTTAAGAAGATCTTGTTGTTCTCATATTAGAAAATACTAATAGTTATTGAAAATCTTAAAATTGTGCTTAAGCGAACTTTTATGTTATCTTTTAGAAACACCAGAAACAAGCATTGTAGTTCCACCAGGGCTTTTAAACTTGCGAGAATCTAAAAAGTGTGACATAGTCAAAGGTGACATGGTCAATAGTGAAATTGTTCGGAGATGTTGGTAAGGTTATTAATTTTTATCCCCCCCCCGAAAGACGGCATATAGTAATCGCACTATCCGTCCGTCCGTCCGTCCGTCCTTCCGTCCGCGCTTTATCACAAAAACCGATTCAGCGAAACTGCACAGGATTGTTTGTCACCAAGCCTTGTTGTGCATACTCTCTTTATTTTCCACTTGATTTTTTTGGCACAGTTATGGCCCTTAAATGGTCAATTTTTGAGTAAAATAAAGTTGTCCGTGCTTCATCTCCAACATCTCTGGGGGATTTCAGTGAAACTTCACAGAATTGTTTGTCACCGTGCCTAGTTGAGCATACTCCCTTGATTTTCCGTTGATTTTTGGGGGCAAAGTTATGGCTCCTTAATGGTCAATTTTTGAGTTAAATAAGCTTGTCCGCGCTTCATCTCAAAAACTAGAGGGAATTTTTGTGAAACTTCACAGGATTCTTTGTCACAATGCCTAGGTATGCATATTCTTGTCATTTTCCACTTGAATTTTTTGTCACAGTTATGACCCCTTAATGGTTTTTTTTTAGTAAAATATTCTTGTCCGCGCTTTATCTCCAAAACCGCTGGGGGGGGGGGTCAGTGAAACTTCACAGGATTGTTTGTCACGATTGCTAATTGTGCATAGTATCTTGTTTTTCCACTTGAATTATTTTGGCACAGCTATGGACCCTTAATGGTCAATTTTTGGGTAAAATAAGATTGACCCGGCTTCATCTCCAAATCATCTTTGGAATTTCAGTGAAACTTCACAGGATTATTTCTAAAAAATATATATAACTTTATGCTTATAGTGCTGTGGACCTCAGTTGAGCTCCTTTAATTTTTTTTGAAACATTACCGAGTATCTTATAACTGATGGTACCCAAAATTAATGTGTGAGAGATATATGTTTTTTTTTTCCATTTTTAGGCGTCCTTTAATGTATCCATGACATCTATTAACATTGATTCGTTAATGTGTTTTGTCTTTGGTACTCTGAGTTTTTTCCTGACACTATTAGCTCTTTTAATGATGTCCCGTTGAATGATATATTTTTATTAACCAATATATTGTCCTGTCCTATTTCTGCTTTCAATATCTCTTCTTTTTTGCTCCGATTCTCTTCAGAGCTGATATTGTGAGACTTGTGTTCATTGAACGCAGCCTTTCCTTGTTGATCTTGTTTATCATATTTAATTGATAATCTGGAAATTAAAGGGTCCGATACCCTGGCGTTGCTCCTCCATGCTGAACTCTATTATCGAGATCTTATTTAGTGGCTGACTGTAAACAATATTATTCTATTATACAGTGAACTTTTGAAGACTAAAACTCTTTCCAAAAACGTCGACTTGGACAAGATGTCGGCACACAGAGCCCCAAAGACTGAATTTGCAGAGTTTGTCAAAAATTCTGAAGATGCGTTTTACATTTTGTGCCAGGTAAGAGGTTTCCTGTTGCGTATACTACAATAGAGCATTTTTTTTTCAAAAGAGTCTACTTTGGGTACTATACTATAACAGATTTTTTCAAATAAAAAAACCACCACATTCAAAATTTCATAAAACCCCTTACCTGTAAAACACCCTCGGCCCAACTAATGAAAACTTTGTTCGTAGACGGCAGTGGTAGTTTAAAACTCTTGTTAACAAATTGGGAACTGTGGGTTGAGACAAAATTGAAGGGGAGGACATACCTTCCCGAAGAGTGACAATTAAAGTCAATACAAAAGACACGCTTCTAACATATACTTCAAAACATTTCTCTCGTTGTTGTCTTATCTGTTTGTGAGATTATTACTATACATTTCAGGTGTTGCTCAAACGCTGCGATAAGACTTTTCTAAAACTATGCATAAGTAACTGGAGCGACTTTGGTAAGTTGTAAATCATATAAACATTTCAAAGTCAGTTCAATGTAATACAGAAACATTTTATGTTGCATACAACTTCACTTTATTATTCACACACTGATTATAGTTATTAACTCTTTCTGAAATAAGAAACATATTTTAAGATAGGTTGAATCTTCCACTTTTTCATTAATAATATAACAAATGTAAATGATATTTTTCGTTTCATTTGATATAAAGTGTTCATCTGTGTATATTATATAACATAATAATTGATTGTTTATCACAGTAGGATCATGTGACTACCTTGCAAAGTATGATGCATTGATTGATGTGGATAGAGCAATATATGAAAGAAATATTGGTGTGTCGGCTTTTGTGAGTTCTTGCACAGCTGGAGGACAAGAGTTGAATGAAAGAAGAAGAAGAATAACAACAACAGTGATAGCAAGCTCGTCAGTCGGCATTGTATCAGGAGGTATGGTCATTGCAGGACTAGTACTTGCACCCGTCAGCTTCGGTGCATCTTTAGGTCTTAGTATCGCCGGAGGGGCTATTGGCGTGGGTTCCGGGGTTGCAGCAGGAACTGCAAGGACCGTTGAAGCTGTAAAACAGAACTCTAAACTAATGGATATCAAGGCGGAACAAGCCGAAATTCAGGCAAAGGAACAGAGAATATCTTCAATTCTTCAAAAAGTTGAAGAGTATTTTACAATAGAGATTGCAAATTCTAGAACGACGGATGCTGAAGGTCCCGGAATAAGCAGGCGCGGTTTTCTTGCTGTCGGAGCAGCTTTACGAGCTGGTCATAGTGTAGCAGGTATAGCTCTTGCAGCAGTTAGGTTAGGAACAGCTGCAACAGCTGTAGCGGCAGGTATTCTTGGCCTTTGTCTTTGGTATTTGATGTTGCATTTCTGGCAGAAGCAGCGCATAATAAACACCAAGGTGATATAACAAATGCTGGGGAACTGTTGCAAGATATGGCTGACACAGTTGATGTAAAATGCAAAATATTTAACGGTATACTTCGTGGAAATTGCGGCGGACACACACGACTTATTGAGTGGCCAGATTAATTGATTGAAATCAAGTGAATGAAACAAAATACGATTAGCATTGTTGTCATTTAGTATTTTTCTTACTCGATCTTTTTCTATCTTGTTATTGTTTTTGTTTACGTCTAATTTAAATGCATATTAAAGCAAGAATTAATTTGCTGGTTATGAAATTTGTTAGATAAAAGTTTGCAGAGAATAGAAGTGACCTTAAAATCAATGTGATATTTATAACTAAAACGTCACTTATCAACAATAACCTTGAAGGAAAAAGGCGATAAGAGTTATAATATCATATCCCTTTTGAAATATATTTCTTTTTTAAAATTTCTGTACGAAAGGCTTCTGTTATACTATCGGACTTTTGTGACATGAAATAACTAACTTTAGATTACAGAAACAAACTCACAATACTCTGGAGCTCTTCAACATCAGTTTATACGCCTATTGGATTTTACAAGAGTCCTCAACGATTGTATCTCTATACTATTCTAAAAAATATTTCGATTAAATATTTTAAGAATTGTGATCTACTAAAACATTGCATTACATATTAGTTATTGTTCAGAAATTTAATTATAATTTCTCGCATTCTTTTTCTTTCTTTTTTTTCTCAATTTAGTGCCAGCAATTAGTAAAATTGATACAGCTCTAGATCAATTATCTATTATACCTTAAAGACTTAGTGTAGTTGTTCAGCCGAATAGTTATAAAATGTATTTAATGTAATTCCATTTTGAGTTATCTTAAGGTCATATTTTTCTTTTGACACGGCACTTTAGAATTTCAAATATGAAATCAAAATGGTAAGATATAAATTATTACACAACATGAAATTATATTCATGTCAATATATTCTAGATGAATTTAAAAAAAGGTAATTTTGGTATTTTGAAACTGCTGAAATAACATACTAACCTATTTACCTACGTTTACGAAAAAAATAATGTTCACGTGATATGGTTGTTGCATCTAAATATGTGCGCATGTTCTAAAGATTAGTTGATTTATTGAATAAAGTATTAAATACACATTTGATGTTTTATCTTTTCATTTATTCATAATAGTTACTTATTTATTGTTTAACGGCGCATTAACACGGTATAAGTCATATGGCGCGGAAACAGGAAAGATTAATTTGGCAGCCCTTGGATGATATAAACTTCATAGCAAGACATGGAAACCATATTGTTATCTGCTAGAGCAATTTTCTTTAACAACTAGGGTTATTAAGTCAGCGTCGAAAAGGTTAGATAGTTTGAGCGGAAATTGCCAGATGACTTAAACCAGGTCGAATATTATTTACATAATAGCCGTTATAATACACTTGCCATTATAATAATAAAAAACAATACAAAAATAAATATAAAATTTTAAAGATATAAAGAAATATACAAGATGCATAAATAACAATGTAAACGTACAAACCCTCCTTACACATGGTATAAATGATTGATTAGTGGATAGTTCAATCGTGGACTGACTAAAAGCAGCTGCCTTCCAGATTCGTACGGAATGCAGTTAGGGCCATCACCTATGAATTGTTTGATCTGAAATGCGATACTCGACAGTACGATGATGAAAACGCGAAATCACGATAACGAAAACGCGATGATACGAAAGTACGATGATGATAATACGATAAACTGTCGTGTTTTCATCATCGTACTTTCGCGTTTTCACAATCGTAATATCGTGATTTCGCGTTTTCATCGATGATGAAAACACGACAGTACGATGACAGTACGATGATGAAAACGCGATAGTAGAATGGTGAAAACACGACAGTACGATAATACGATGATGAAAACGCGAAATCATGTAACTACTACGGTGAAAACGCGACAGTACAATGCTGAAAACACGATATTTTATCGCCTTTTCACCATTGTAGTTTCGTGATTTCGCGTTTTCACCATCGTACTATCGACTATCGCGTTTCAGATCAACTCATTCATAGGCGATGGCCCTAATGGCATTCCGTAGATTCGCGGTAATTTCATGAACTTTTAAAAATGTGTAATCCATGAACATCTTATAAAGTGAAGTATTAAAAAGAAGTTAACTTAGTCAAATGCAGCACTTGATATCCTCACAAAATACAAAGTACATTCTGCCAAATAGTATGTAACAATTTCGATGTGACAATCAAAATTGAATGTTACACTTTTCTAATACATTTGTTCATGTTTGATGCTTTGAAAATTAATTTTCTTCTTAAGAGATGTAAGAGTTTATGCACAAGTTGTATTATATTTAAGTATTATATGGTGGATTCATAGAACTTCGTATCTTTCATATCTTATCATAAATGAACACAACACAATAGAGGTAAAAAAAAGCCAAAAAAGTTTAATTAATTTAAAAATGTATTATTTCCTACGTAATGATTGGTACAAGCTGTATTAGTACAGAGCACAAATATTTCGTGCCAACTTATCTAAAGTAATGCAATGTTTGAAAATGTTACTAAGCATTTCGTCTAATATATGCCTAACCAATAAGCTATATTTGGGTGACTGAAAATACAATGTCTTTTGATAGCAAAATCATAAAGCACCTATATAACGGCGAAAAGTCTAAAACATTCATTATTTTGTGTAAGAATTGCACGAATTTATTGTAATGCAATTAAACGACTTGTTATAAAAATATAAAAACAGTTTTTATAAACCCTACAAGAGAAAATACAAGAATTAACTTGTCAATTTTTCGAAGAAATGCAGACCGGTATGTTAATTCTATAAACTAGAAATTATACGGATACCATCCCTACCAATTCCATAACGCCGACGATTGGTATATTTTTCGATAATTGTATTGTTTGCCCATGATATGATGACAGTGACGTCGACGTTGCAATTTATCTGTGCACTGAAGTTAACAACCAACCACTGAAAAGGTAAAAAGAGTCTTCAATAATCAAACATTACAGTAAGTTTTCTAATAAGAGGAGATTATCAGGATGCTGAACTTTGCTATGCCGTTGGCAAAGAATGAATGCAGTTAATCATTTATTTTATCCCGAGTTCAAGTTTCACAATATTGTTTTTCAATTTCATATTGGGCGTAAAAAATGTTCTTCCTATGACGGTTTCAATGTAGCTTATCATAAAGCTTTATAAAAAATAAACCGGTTATAATGAATCATTGTCCTGTATAGAAGTATTAGTACAGAGCACAAGTATGTATTGGCAAATAATCAAAAGATAATGCAGTATGTGTACATATACATGTATGCAGTCTCTATAAAATTCCTTTAGAAATGGCTTTACAATATATTATAGCCCTTTTGTCTATTTTCATGTATGCCTATTTGTAATGTTTCTGTTTTGAATGGAGTGTTAAATCAAGAAAAACTCAGACATTGTTTGCAAATTCTTGCAAAGCTTTTGATATGTTAATAGGGATAATGTATTGCACAAAATGATTGAATTGGGATTAAGGGGTAAGACTTTATATAAAAATGTGTCTATAAATAAGGGCTGTTAGTCATAGCTTAAGTTTTTAAATAGATGAATGATGAATTTACATGGACAAGGAAAATGTGTATCTTCTTTTATGTTTTCACTACATGTATTTATAAATGACAGAAAGATATTTCAAGATTTTTTTCTTCATAGCGGAGCAAATGGAATTCATGTTAGGATGTTTAAGATGCTTTAAGTATTATATGTTAATGACATTTTTATATTTGTAAGCTTAGCTGAAGACATTAAGTATTGTGTGAATATATTAAAAGATTATCGTAAAACTTAAAAAAAAGAAAGTAAATGTTTCAAAGATTAAAGAGGGGCATTTTCGCCCATTCTCAATAAAATAAAGCATTTGAGGTTGAAAAATATTAAAAATTTGATGTTGTCATTGTGTCATTTTTTATCGCTGAAGTAAATGTTTAGGGTATTTTGCAAGTTTGCCAGAAATATTTTGAACAAGAAACTATGATATAACAGGATGGCATTTATTTCGGTAATGACACTGTATTTCTTCGGTAACGTAGATTTCAGATCTAATAATGTAACATATTGGCTGCATATTAATAACAAATGTCTGTAAAATATATCAAAATCTGTAAATTCTCTATCTAGAGGGACTTTCTAACCCAGGAAAATTCAAAGAAGTTGGGTACCTTGCTAATTTTCAGTCAATTTCTTCAAAGTTAAATATTCGTAGAAAGCAAAAATAGTCAATTTTGAAAATGATTATTTTATGTCTTCATTCAAAGGATATATATCATATATAATATATGAGAGGTCGAATGCATACACAATTTTTGTATTAGCATTTTTTTTTCTCAAAATATTCAACTTTCCACTTTCTTAATATTTGGAAAATTTAGTACTAAACAGTTCGATATTTATCCCCATTTTATTATAGGATGTCACGTATGTTTCATTTTATTCAAATGCAAGTAAAGGTTGAGAAAACAATTTTATTTTTTGTAAAATAATTTATATTTATGGATATTATTTTAACATTATTATATATAGAATGAAATACGGCCAGTAAGCTCTTTGCAGAAACGAATTAGTTGTTGCTGAGAACATCAATATCTTGTAATATATTTTTAACATTTCTGCTGGTACATCAACATATTATTAACATATCTTTCCATTGTAAAAACAATTTTGTGTCTTCTTACATCTAATACAAGGTAACCGTTACTAACATGCATGCTAATCACAACTTTATCTTTAATTTTCAAAAATTGTTGAATTGTAAGTTGGAGTAACGTATGTTTCACACTCGCTTATTTATGAACTTTATCACGGAATTTAAACTTACATGTAAAATCGACTTTTTTATTTAGGAATCAAATGCACATCATTCTATTGTCATAAAAATGCGATTTTATGGTTTTATATATGCATGTGTAAACAATATAAAGTCTGTTTGATAAAAGTAACGTTTGTTTCACTGTGGTTACTTAAACAAGTAAAAACACGACCAAAGTTAACAAAATTTACTTACTAATGTCAAATGGAAGTTAATGTTGGTGTTATACGTGCTTTCTGACTTCAATTTCCCTTTTGATAAACTTACTTTAAAAAGTTGATAACGTATGTTTCTGTAACGTACGTTTCATTTTTACATTGAAAGTGGGTTAAAAATGACGCAAGACCGTTTAAGCCGCCATAATTTGTGGTTAATATATCAGAGTTACACACATGTTAATATTCTTTCTTGTTTGGATTCTTCTTTGAATGGATTGGCTCTTAAATAATGGTAACGTATGTTTCTTTTTAAAGTGCTGTTGAAAAGATTTGAATAAAAAATGAAAATTTCCGAAAATAGAATGATATTTGAGAGGCTGCAAGCTTATTTTTACTTATAATTATATATATGCTGTATTATTAAGCATGCATCGATTCAATTATGTAATTTGGGTTTCACTTCTTATTGTTTTAGGTTTGTCACTATTTATTTATATGCATTTGGCGACATTTGATTATTCATTATACCAATGAGATTTTAACAGTCAAATATAATTTTTACCAATAATCAAAGTGCATATACACACAGCAATGACTAATTGCACATGTTTCGTTTATTCTGGAACTTATTTTTCTGAAACACAATTTCAAAGTTGAAAATTCTAGGTGGCGACAGTAACGTATGTTACATTTTAGGGCATTAATGGTACTTGTAAAAGAAAAATAACAGACAGAAATGTAAAACTGAGAGTGTCCCTATTAGACAAAGTGGCAGCCACCTTTCTAACGACATTTTGACCTCAAGAAAAACCTTCGTATAAGAGCTACCCAGTGGAACATCAAATGCTGTGTTTTATTGAGAATGAGCGTTTACCTAACATATTACGTTTCTTTTTTTATTGTGAGCATGTAGCAATTGTTAATAGATATTCATTTATGAACAGCCACGCGAGGAATAACAAACTATCAAATTGTGTTTAATGGCCATACCATATGTTGTATTTTCAGGGTGTAAACATAACATCTAATATAAACATGTGTGTACCATTTTATTCAGTAACAATCTATATTAACACCGTCTATGGGCTATGTCTAAATACAT